TCAGAAACAGAGATTTCTTTAAACAGTGATTGAGGATTCTGACACACATTAAATTTACTGATACGAGAAATAAACTTTTGGATTCAGACTTTATTATTAACTTTTTAGAATAAATATTTTTGAAAATAACAACTAAATAGTAGTTTATTTTATGTCTCTAACAAACACCTACAAGATACTTGCTATATACCAGGCACAGTTAGCTCTACAAAAGGAAACTATCTTTAAAGCTCAAATGAGCTCCATGGGATAGGAACTGTTACTATCTCTATTCCACTTATAAGGAAACAGAAGCAAAGAGAGTATGTGAAAATCGATCAGTTACATGGCCGGTGTGCTACAGAGCTGGAGTCCAATCAGGAAGCCTGACTTTGGTATTCATCCCCTTGCCCTTGCCCTCTACAGCGTTATGCTCTAAAATGAGCTCTTTGCATGTTATATTTGAGAAATTGACACATGAGATATGTTGTAATTTATTTTTTAAATAAAAAACTTTATTAAATCAAAAATCTGTATACCACACAATTTAGAAACTTAAAATGTTGCCGGGGATTTAGCTCAGTGGTTTCCGCCGCCTGCTGCGCAAGCGCAGGGACCCGAGTACCAAAAAAAAAAAAAAAAAAAAAAAGTAAGATTCAATAAATAGGCTCTGGCACATTGACAGAGTTGTATAACCAGAACCACAATCAAACTCAGGTCATTGTTGCCGCTCCAAATCAAAACACTACCTACTAGCCATCATTCCCAACCTCTCTCCACTAAATCCAGGTAACCACTGAGCTACTCTCCATCTTCATAGATTTTCCTGTTGTAATTTATTTTAAAAAGAAAATTTCAATATTGCAAAGTATTCTTTTAATCTTTTGAAGAAAATGAGAGAGCAGCATCATTCCCTATAGGCATCTAAAGCACTTATATGTATTAAATCATCATCAATTTTAATCATTTCTTTAAATTGGAAATTTATCTTAGTGTGAGTGTGATATTAGCAAATATAATAACATATCTAAAATTTTTCTAGTATGTCCACTAGTGTCTAAAGAATGTTTCAATAACAACCTAAATAATGTGTCAACAGATAGTATTTTTAACATACCAAACATTTTTCCATTCTATTAAGTGTTTCATTAAGACATGTATTTCAAAAATTCATCTTCTATAGCAGGGAGAAAAATTCCTGCTCACAACAATTAATGACTAGCAAAGATGATCCTATCTCTATAGGTTAATGAACGGTAATTACAAAAGAAGGAAGATGGGCTGTCAAGCCATTGTGGCATGACCTTGACTTGACTATATCTCTCTCATTCACAGCACACAGGTTTTCTATAACCACAGAGCAAAGAACGGAGTGCTGCACTAATGAACACTTGCTAAAACATATAATGTCAAAGCAAATTTTTAAGTAAGTAGAGTTAGCAGTAATAGAGTATTAATTAGAAGCCAATAGAATGAAATCATACTTCTCTAGCTTGCCAAAGACATTACCTGTGTGTTAAAAAGAAGTGTTTATGGCCAGCATGTTAGCGTTGCATGCCAATAATCTGAGCAGGTGGTCATTAGAGGCTTTTACTAGAAGCCAGATCCTTTTCCCCATGAAAAGCTTGGTAAGGTCCAGGCACTTATTTTTTCCGGAATTAGACATTATTCCACTTCAAATTGCCAAGGTACCTATAATGCCAGGGAAGTGATTTAGTAGGTCTCCTTTCACAAGCTGAGAATGATTACTGCATTCAGAATTCTTCAATCTGTTTTATTGGATAAACTCAGAATATCTGCTTTATCAAATCAATTCAAAAGTTCTGCTAGATGCCTTCTTTCTTCTTTATAAACAGTGTAATTGAAAGCATTGTTTTGGTAGAATCATCTCAGAAGACCACATAATCACCATTTAGATTAGCCCTAATTCATTTTCCATTTGCTTATTTTACTGTTAACTTTCCCAGAACTATTTTTTTTTTTTACAATTAGAACATCTGAATTTTAATTACATTACCATCAAGAAGCTCATTAAAGTCACTTAATTGGCAACATTTCCAAAAAAACCTTAGCTGGGTTTAATATATTTTAAAGAGTTACTGTCAAAGTATAATTTCACCATTACAAACAGCTTGGCAACAACATTTGCATAAAGATCTGTCAGTTTCTGAAAAATGCTCAAATGTTGGGAAAATCAGATTCGTTAAGTTGCCTTTCCTGAAACAGCCTAGAAATGGAGGAATTGTCACACATATTTATCCTAGTAACCCCTGCAGTACACAGAATACTGCCATGCCAGCATAAGGGTTCAATAAATATTTGTTGAAGGAAGTTAATAATATATTTTATACTTTGGGGTAGATTTAAAACCTCAGTGAAAGTTAGCTCATTTGTGTTAAATTTAAGCAGATACCCATATTCTTGCTGTTTCTTTTTCATTCTAAGAAATATTATATGGTCATTTATAGTTTTGAAATTTTTATAAATAGCTCTAGGGCCAGCATTCTGGATCTAAAATTTGCAATCATTTTTAGAAATTGTTTTATTGTTCCCTGTTACATATACCAGGATTTTCTTGTCATCCACAGTATCTAAAGCAGTGACTTGTGATTGCATTTGTTGCATGAATAAATGAGTAAATGAATGAATGAATGAATGAAAATCTCAAATTTGTTGTAGTTGAAGAATGAATATACTTTGCAGCATTAATTAGAGTATCAGAACACCACTTTCCAAATATTATATCCAAATGAAATGAAGTTAAAGATAACTATTATTACATGGTAGCTTTTTAAGAGTAGAAAAATCAAGATGTTCTTAAATAATCCCTTTTAGTTTGGTACTTTCTATTTAAAATCTCTCCCCTTTGTAGTTAGCATACCTTTTCCAATCCCAAAGAAGAATCTAGTAAATCTAAAATAATGTATGTAAACATTTAAAAAATTCTCACACACATTGATGCCTTACTTTCCACAAAGTGTTGTCCAATGTCTGGTATGTAGTCAGACTCAACAAATGTCTGTTTGAATGAATAAATGAACAGACTGTGAGTCTTGAGAAAGACCAGGATGGCTCTATCTGAGGGGCTCATGGGAAGCTTCATCAATGATTATGCTGAAAACCTCAATCTTCTATGAACGCAGAATCATTTATTCATTGAAAAACTGGAGTGCTTCTATGATACACCGTATAAGTGGGCCATAAAGATTTATTTACTTTCCAATAGCACTTTCTTTGCTGATGAGAATGTTCTACATCTGCATTGTCTAATATGGTAGACACTAGCTACATGTAGCCAGTATAACCAGATTGTTGAATTTTATCTCATTTTAACTCATTTAAATTGATAAAGCCCTGTAATTACCACAGTGGGCAGTCCCACCAGGATTTCACAATGTGTAGAGTTGTGGAAGAACATGTCACATTTGAGGAAATACAGGGCTTTTAGCCATTGATGTCAGAAGAAGGGTTTGGAAACCTGCATGGGGACAGACTGTCAAAAGCTCCATGTGTCATACAGCTGAGTTTACATTGTTTGCTAGACAATGGATAATCACTGGAGGTTTCTAAGTGGGCAATAATATGATTAGATTTGTCTCCTAGAAGTTACTTCTGTGGCCATGGGGGCAAAGGTCCAAGGATGGAGACTGCTTGATACACACTGATATTAGAATGCAGCTTTGCAAATTCCACGAAGACAGAAAATAAATTGGTACAACAAGATTTTTATCCTTCAACTTACTTGTAATTACCCTGTGGTCTCCCTAGATTAGTAAATGACTGTTGGTTATTTTTCTCTTTCTAGTTGGAGTGAATAAATGATGAGAAAATTATGAGGCTGTCTCTTGGACTTGCTTCAGAGGTTACTCCATGGAGAAGAGAGAGGGAGAAGGTAGTAGTTCCTCAGACCCTCAGGGCATCCATCATTGCATCAAGATGGAAAAGAGAAATCTGTTAAGGTGTTGTCCAGGATCCCTGACCAGCACAAAGCACCCCTGCCTCCTGTGTGAGGTGGAGTCATGTGATTTCAGTAGAAAACATGGGTTTCAAAAAGCAGCAGTAGAAAGAGGCCTGGACTGAGAAATATCTGAAAGTTCTAGAGAAGACTGTGGTCTATTATCTTTAAAGCTTGTTCTTACTGTAATTAATGTACCGTGTCTGGGTGGGTTCTTCTGGCTATAGGACATTAGGGCAGCCACCAAGGCACTCTGTCTGGAGCTGCAAAAAGAATTAATCTAGGGAGGGCGGAATTCTCCAGGGTGGTCCAGTACTGGGAAACGTATCAGTCAAAAGTTCCTTAGACAATGGCCTGGTGATACTTCCAACATTCCTTCAAGAACATCTTCAGATTACCTGGTGTGGATCTTTATAATTCTGTGGGAACTGCAGAGATGGTAACCCAGTCATAGTTTCTAATTAACGTTACAATCGCTGGGAGATCATTGCTTTTGAGATTACAGACATTACAGCCTTTTATTTTAAACAAATTTTATAATATAGGACTGAAACTTCAGAAAAATGTTATAGATATAAAAATTGCCTCTCTAGCCATTGATATCCATTTATTTATTTATTTAAATTTAGTTATGGTCTAGTAATCTGAAGGTAGTTACTATTTCTAAGAAAAAGGATGGAATATAGGAACACTTCCAAATGTGTAGCATTTCTTAAAAGGAGCCTGAATTCAAAAGTCTGACTTTATCTTAACCAAATGCTTTTGGCAGTGCTAAAGAAATTTTCTGGGAGAAATTTAATAAACATTTCTTGGAGGGACAGTATAGAGTACAAACATCTCAAACTTGATTCACTGCTTTTTCTGAACTATACTTTTACCTCTTCTGAGCTATTTGTTCCAGCATTTGGAGTTCTCATTACAAAAATCTAAAACTGCTTCTAGATTCTTCTCCTTCATCACTACCATGTTATTCATGTGCTTGACCTGAATAAGCATTTTTCTACAATAGAACTTGAACCTGAAATCAAGAAACACAGGCAACACAATAGCAATTGAACTTCTGACTTTATTTTCTTTCCCCATACAGTTTTTAAAGCACTGTTGAAAAATAACTTTTTCTTTTCTTTCACGTAGTACTAGAAAATGTAAACAATATTTAGGAAAAATTTTACCAGCCTTCAGACCAATATTCATTTGTTTGTTTATACCAGTATTTTACAGTATAAAAGCAAACAGGGCAAACTGACTGAGGGCAAATTTTCCAGCTTGTGATGCAGGCTTGTATCTACACTGATTTTAGCCTGAAGAAAAGCATTGCTTTAGGAAATGGGTCATGTGGGTATACAAGTGGTTCATGGAGATCCCTGATATTCCATGGTTCTGGTCAGAGTACCACTGAAATACAAAAGAAAGAAGCCTAGTGTATTTCTGCAGACACAAAATGAACATAGATTTAACTTTTTTTATACTCTCAGGACCTGACTTTTAAAATATTCTTGGGAAATTCTACTTAAGAACACTTGAATAAATTAAATATTTCACATGTGAACATTTAAGCAAGAATATTTAAAGAGCTTTTGTGAACTTCCACCAACCACTGTTTGATATTCTTTAAACTTATATTTTAGATCTATGCTTTCACAGTGGCCAGCACCCCAGCACCCAAGGAAAGCAGGATCAGGAGCCATGGGTTCCAGGACTGGTACGTTGCGTCTGGCACTTTGAGTGTCTGGAGTTTGGTTTCTTCATTTGAAAAACAAAGGCTGTGGATTTGTTTTTCCCTAAGACTGCTTATAGCTCAAAAACTCGATGAGGCTTTTAGCCTGTGAATCTAATTTCTCTCTACTGCAGAAAATTCACAATATAATGTGTCACCTGTAACCATAAACACCCTTTATAGGTGTTAAAAATCTCATTGTAAAAAGAGGGGATAGTATAACTTTAAACTTTTTTTCTTGGAGAGATGCCGGAAAGATTATTGTTTTCCCTGAATAAAGGTGGCAATGGCCATGATGTAATGTTATGTATTTATTGAGTTAGTTTCTTTGGGGAGGGGTACAATTTAAAAGGTCAGAAAAGCCTCATTCTTTATAAATTATTTAAAAAGCACAAACTTTCAAGATACGGAGTTTCTCATTTAACATAAGGAATTGAGGGAGAATTTATGTTTGCTGAAGAGCAGACAATGTAGCTATCAAGCATTGGCCTCCTTTGCCTTAGCTTTTCCCTTATTTTCTTTGGTTTCCATTTCTTTCTTCACAAATCTGAATTTGACACTTAGCTTATTCATTCATTCACTCAAAAAAAATTTAAGCTTCTGTATTGGGTCAGGCATTTGCCAGGTGCTCAGCAAACAGACGAAGAGATTCTCTCACTCTGAAAGAACTGTTTGGGAGGCTCTGAGGTCCTATAACATTTAGCAATCATTTCTTACTGAATAAACAGAATCTTCTAGCTGCTTTGGGACTCCTAGGTTTAATAGGTACTCTAAGCAAATAACTGCACTTATTTACATAGGATTGCAGAAACATTAAATGTTTGAGGTAGAAGGTCATTTAATCTTGTGAACTCTCTTATATGACTTAAGTGGAAACCCCAGATGTAACATGGCTAATCTAGGGTCCTTTAGGGAGTTCATAAAAAGAGTCAGTGTTCATTTGCTAATGTTCTGCTTGCTCTACTCAACAATCTTTTTGTTAGATTTTACCCAAAACAATAAAATGTAAGACTCTCCTCCTTTTAGCTTGGGGGTCTAAGTCCATGAACACGAGTAAAACAGAATTATTACCATTGCCTGGAAATCCACTTGTGCATTAACCAGAGCTTTAGCAATCTGTGCTGAGTTTTGGAAGTGCACATTATCTGCAACAAAGGAGAGAGAGAGAGAGAGAGAGAGAGAGAGAGAGAGAGAGAGTTAAAGTGTTGCTAAATACCAGAAAGCATAGAGTGACAATGTACTGCCTGGAAATGAACACCAACAATTATCTAGTCATGCATTTGACATTGTCAGCAGTGAGTAATCACACTCAGATATGGAAATGTCCCTGACTCTTAGGTACTGACCCTGATCATAGGCATAGGAGGATGCTTAATGTTTCTTAAACAAAGTGATGCTGGCTCAGTATTTTTATGTGTAAGAGTCTTGCTTAAACCTCACCATCTGCTGTTCCGTGGATGAGAAGATAGTCTACATTTCTGAAATATTCTGCTCTTGCCATCACAGTTGAATTCTGGAAAAGAGGAAAAATTAACATTTTAGTTGCTGCAAGTTCTAATAGAAAACTAGCTAAATCATTGTGCAATGGACTTAGCACCAATACTGAAATTATGTATTGCTTTGGGTTGATAAATATTTAAGAGTCAGAGCAACACATTTTCATCATCATTTGCATTACTTCCATCTGATTCTTAGTTTGAAAAACTGAAAGTTTATGTGTCATATGTTACATATGAGTGAGACCTTAGGCATAAATGATGCCCGCTCAAGCTGTGTATGAGTGGGGGTGGGAGGAGGGACGGGAAGAGGTTAGAGAAAGGAAGATGGTAAAAGAAAGACTAGAATCCAAATGGGGAAAAATTCTTTTTAGTGATGTGGTTTGCGATTAACAACAGATCATCTTTTTTGTTTGAGAACCCAGAATTGAAAGAGTAAATTCTGAATTACTGCTTTAAATCATTTGGTACATTTGAAATAAATTAATAACCTAAATACAATGGAAAATGCTTACTTTATAGTGCTCAAGGTTATCATCTTTTGTTGGGAGACCCATGAATCGCTCTGTGTAGATAGATGCTGCAAAATATGTAAGAATATGTTGTTTGCACGTGGTGCACGCTATTTTATTAACCAAAAGACTTCTTAGATTAATAATTGCTCCTCAATTATCCTACATGGAAGTCTTTCCCTAAACTCTGGCTTCACTCTATAAAATGGTGGGCCTCAATGAAGGTGTGTTGTTTCTGCAATTTATCTCAGTAGGTTAGAGAAATAATGTAGGGAGAGATTACAGAAACAGGAGTATCTGAGTATTTCCTTTCTAGGGTTGCTCTTAAGCTTTTTCACTACTACCCTCCAAGGGAGAATACTGAAGTGGGAATGACTTGTAGAATAATCTATAGAATGTTTTTCACAGAAACCACAAAAGCAACCACCTTTGGTACTTGTATTGGTGTTGGATTTCACCTGGGATGAAAATATGTTCCCAAGTCTATCCCCCTCCACATACACACACACACACACACACACCCCTCACATACTTTTTATTTTCTGCATAGAGATTCTCTGTAAGTCACAAGTGTCTCATTTTTACTCCAACACAGAAAAGAGGATCTGATGAAGACAAATTTTTGTATAATCTTTAGAGTTACTTTCAAATAATCATTCTGCATTGATGTTAGTCACAAAAACAGGCATGTACAGAAGGGTACTTCCCAAACATATTTTTCATTTCTCTTGATTTCTGGAGTAAATGAGTTGCAACTGCAACCTGCAATAGGAAGGTGAATTTCTTGGCCCCTGGCCTGCCTTTGCAAAAGATGTGCTTTAGAGCCAATTGTGCTGCAACTGTATGCCTTCAAAAGCACAGAGTTAGCTGTGATTTTAAGATTTTGTTCAGTAGAGACTCAAAGTTTTTGAGAGAAAATAACATATATTAGATTTCAGAAGAATCTTGCCTTTTAAGGTATTTTTGATTGTTACAGTGTAATTATAATGAATCACACGAACAACGTCATTTATAGATTATATTTTTCCTAATGACACTGGGATGAATTTTACTGCATAATTTGTTTTCTTAGAAACCTCAAATACAGGAGTAATCATGTGTTAAACGTTTTCACGGCAATATTTGTGAAATATTTCCATACCATAATATTCCCAGCTGGAGACTGGAGCCACTGCTATTCCACATTTGAAAAGACCAGTTCCAGATGCAAGGGCCAGCGATGAAACATAACCTCCATAGGACTGTGGAGACATTGTTGTGTGTCACTGACTTTCAGATTCTTCATGTTTTTAAAGCAATGCTACTCAGAGTCAGGACTGAAGGGAGCTGGGGGATATGATAAGGGTAAATTAAATGTCTATCTGACACCTCTGGCAGCAAGCTCCACCAGTAGTTTTGTCCATGATCAACTAGAAATAATTGGTGTGCTAATCAGAATAGATTCTCCTAAAAGAGGGCAGGTACTGTTTAAGAGCAAGATGTAATTATAATTCTTCTACTAAAAAAAATTTCCTTTTCTCATCTATATCTTTCCAACTAGGACCTTGCTAAAACAAAAACAGTATTCTACTTGAAAGAGATGCACAGAAAAAGGGAATTATTCCCAAAATGGAAATGTAAGACACTTTCTATGGTTTGCAAAAGTCCTGTGAGGCAGAACTTGTATGGATGTGTTTACTTCTTTTCATAACAGAGCACCAAAAAAAAAAAGGCATAAGAACCTTTTAGCAATTTTAGGACATGGCCAGAGTTTGTGAATTGTGTAGTTACATATTCTATTTTGAAGAATTCTGACATAGCAGCTCAAAGAAGGAAAAATCATTGGTATTTTAAAAAACCTTTCACTTCTTTCCACCAATTGAATGGGAAAACAAAAATACAAAAGGAGATGCAAAGTATAGAATCAGTAATAGGTTCAGATCTCATAGGGTTCTTTCCCCCAAGGGATCAATAGAAATGGGATCCTTATAACAGAATTTCCATATCACTTGAATATTTGAGGCTTTTCCTAATCATGGAGAATTGAACAGGGCATCTCAATGAGACTGCCTGTCATCCTGGAAATCAAATTTGGTCTGTACAAACATCTGGGAGAGAAGTGTTTCTCTTGGGAACATGGCTAAGCAATCTTCTGGAACATGAATCAAGAACAACGTGTGCAGTAGATCAGCAAATGATTTTCATTGTTTTTTCTTGCTCTGGTACAGGGGTATCTGTAGACCACATAAGGAAACAGTGTGACTTCCCTACTAAAGCTATGCTTGAGTTTTAAGACCTATGCCACAGATTCTGGGAACTGCTTTACTCAAGTTATGACAGATTATATCATTCTTTAGCACAGAAAAGACAATCTTTGGAGGAGAACAGTGAGAGCAAGGGAGAAAGAGGAAGGCAAAGAGACAGACAGACAGACAGACAGAGGGTGAGGGCAGCAAGTCAGTGACCAGGGTCGACCTTAATCTGTGAAATACAGAGAGTGGGAGAATGACCTGAACAATCGTGTTGAATTCAGCAGATAAATGAAGAATCCTCTAACTAGTTTACAGTTTTATGTTTCCAGTTCTGGGGGATTTGTTGAGGGCCGTTGGCTGCAAAATACAGAATAAAAGAGGCGGCTCCAATTATACCATGGCCTCTTTTTATTATACTTGGAGGAGATCTAAGCCATGTTTTAATAGGGGAAAATTATATTTTAAAAACAGAAGGAACATTTGGGTTTGAAAGTCATTTTGGTAAGTGAAAATTCTCTATCTCATTGAAACTTTCACTTATAAAAATAATTTGTTCTGATTAGTAGGTTAGCAAGAACTATTCCTAAAATGGAAGGGATTTCCTTCTTTTCAATTTTAAATTCAAATAAGAGTAAACTTAAGGCCTTTAGACAATTATTACTTTTTATGGCTTTATTTGAAAAGAATGTTTACTGAAAATAAAAACACTGGGTCCTGCCTCTTCTCTTCTATGCCCCAGAGCAGAAAATAGCATGAAGTGAGATTTGATGCAGAGAGATTTTGCACATAGTAAAAAAGGTTCTTGAACATTTCTGTTAAAAATCTTAGGAATTATTAATATGTATAGACTCAGAGATTAGGTGATAGTGCTGTATTTAAATATAATTTTCCTGTTTTCATAATGAATACAAATTTTCTCTAGGAATTTGTTAGGGCAAAAGCTATTGTACTTGCAGCACAACAAAAGAAGGTTATGCTTTAAATCACCAGGCAGTTTAGAAAAGCTGTTCCTATTGTAGAAATGAAGGGGGAGAGAGGCCTATGTTGACTTTTTCCTGCTCTTCCATGAGTGGGGCTCCCAGCCCGAGTGGGTGGCTGTGGTAAGTAAGGAACCCACAGAGCAGATTGGCCATAAGAATTCTAGAATTGTGTCCTTTGCACTTAGATGCCTTGGTATTTTGTTTAAATGAAGGCTGTCTTTAAAAACATTCTTAGAAGGGTGCAGAATTTTAAAAGAGGGCTTATGGAAGACTCTTATTTGAGCCATAATGCACTCTGGGACATTTTACCTACAGACAATAATAATAACTAGTTAACATTTTTCTGACCAAGCTTATTGCACTGGTCTTTTTGGGCCCACACAAGCTGTCTCCCTTCTCCCTCCTCACACCTCCTCCTCCTGTCTCTTCTCCTTCCTCATTGGCTGTCTTCATGTTCTTTGAATTCTCCAAGCATGATCTAGCCTCAGGACATTCACAAACGCTGTGACCTTCTGCCTGAATGTTCTTTATCCAGAAGTCTGTATGCCTCACTTCCTTTTTTCTAACTCAAATGTCACCACAAAAGAGCCTTATTTGCTCTTCTAATTTAAACTTATACCCTGTACCCCTTTTTTCTTGTTTTGTCTTATATTTCTCTATGGCGTTTCTCATCATTCCACATTGTATATTTTACTTATTTATATTGCTTGTTGTCTTTCTCCTCAATGAGTCAAAGTTCTGAGAAAGTAGCTTTGTCTGTCTTGTCAATGAATGTAATCCCGGCACTGAGGGTATGGCCTAACAAAGTAACAGAATGAATATTTGTTGACTATATGACTTTGCTTTGAACTCATGTAATCCTCAGAGTGACCTGGTGAGGAAATTATTGCTGCATTTCACAGTGAGGAAACTGAAGCTCAGAATAAACTTGGGGTGGTCATGGGTCAGTGAGCAGCAGAGCTGAGACTTAAACCCAGGACACTTAACTCAGCAACTTGGGCCGTTTCTCCTCTATCCCTACCAGAGGGCATCTTCTTTTAGGGGAAATAATGTAGTCTAATATAGTCTCATTACACGTGCATTTGTCCTACTTTTACATTGTTGATCACACATAGCAATTCAAATTTCTTATAATTAGTCAGTGGAAGAGAAAGGAACTAAGATTAAATAATTAACTAATGCTTATTCAACACCACCTGGCTAGGTTTATATTAACAAAGTAAAACCCTTAAACAAGGCTGTTTTTCTAATAATTCAGGCAAAATCTCACAGCTCTGCAGTTGTCAGAATGATTCCTTCAATTTTTCATTCCATGCAGGGTTTCCACGATATTGATATTTTGGGTTAGATAATTCTTTATTGTAGGGTCTTTCCTGCATTGTGGGAGGTTTAACAGCGTCTTGGCCCCTATCTCTTACATGACAATAGCTCTCTCTCAGGGTGGCAACTAGAAAGAATTCCAGACATTGCCTAATGTTTTAAGGACAAAACCACCCTGGTTAGGAACCTCTAATAAACAGATACTTCTTAAGCACCATGGTGGACACATAGTAGTTATTTAATAGCCTCTTAAAAGCTGGGCTAGTGGGCTTTGGTTTATTTGAGCCAGTTAAATGAAAGGGGAAGGCAGAACTACCTCCCTCCCTGTTTTGGTCTGGATAATGAAGAAAAAAATGTACAATTTGTATCTTATTGACCAACTGACTCTAAAAGAAATCAAGTTAAACATGATGCAGACCACAAAAATGCCCGACACTTCATGAAAACAGGTACTTTCTTCCCTAATAGCCCTCGTGGTCATTATCAATGTCTTCCTCTTTTATGTCCCTAATTTCTAATAGGTTTCTGCTTACTAGTTTGTAAAGGACAGCCAGAGCTATGGCATTTTTCCAGTCTCTACTTTACTAGCTAACTTTAGGTGTTTGCTACTTATGTCCAGTATTGGTGCCTTCCTAGCCATTGGTTCTTCCTCTCCCCTACCTTAGCTACCCTTAAAGTCTTCTCCTAAGATCTTTCTAAAACACCAATACTGTTCCTTATTGATTTTAGCAGAACTTCTTTAAGAGTCCATGTTAGTGTGTCTGGGGATGGGCAAGGAATAAAAAATTGTGGAATTACATACTTCCTGCAATGTTATGATTAGCAAATTTAACAGGTTTGTTTACTTGTCTTCCACTGAGCCTATATACATTATTGTAAATAATTAATGATTTACTAAATTATTAGACCATAGAATCTTCCTGGAAAATCTGGGAATCGTGGAATACACTTTTTGGAGAACATTGACTTACAGGATTAAATTCAGTTTAAGTAACATCACAGATGTCTGACATGGCCCCATATTGTGCTAAACATTTGAAAAAGAAAGCCAAGGAAAGATCATCCATTCCCTTGAGGAACTTTCATTCTGGTGAGAGAAAGATAAAACATGATAATTCCTATAAAGACAAATACAAAAAGCTATCAGAATACAAAGTCACATCTGAGTTGGGTCTTAAAGAGCAAGTAGGAGTTTTCCATTTTGGAATGAGGCAGAGGTGGGGACTAGAAGAAGCAAATGGTAGTGGATAGAGATTACAGGTGTGAGAAACTCCATGGCAAAGCAATATGTTAAAAGTTATGCTTTTTAATGACAGTTATACTTACAATACTGGACCTTGTGAGACCAAAGCACAGGGCTTATTAAGAAACAACTGCAATGTTGTAAACAGGTGCTACTCAACCTACATCCATGGACCAAAGTATCAGCACTCATAGGATCTTGTTAAATAAAGAATGCAACCTTGAGCCCCACCCCACTACATCAGAGTCTCAAGTGGCAAGGCCTTGGCAGTGGGGTCTTAACAAGGTCTTCATGTGATATTTATCCATCTAAAGTTTGAGAAGTTCTCATCTAAATGACATATGAAGAAACTCTAAAGCATTAATAATGAGGATGGCAAAACTTAGATGTTTGGAGGTAGAAATGATAGAATTTACTAGCTAGTCCAAGAGAGTAGTGAGACCTTTAATAAAGATAATAAGTTGTTTTAAAGCAAACTATGGAAAGTTTAGTTTGGAGTAAACTAAGCTCGAGGCCCATGTAACTTTTGGGAGAGAAGACCAGGAACATTTGAAACATGAGCATAGTCTAAGGCCCTATCACCCTGAACGCACCCCATCTCTTCAAAAATATAAGCTTAAAAGAGGGATTGATGGTCATGGGAGGGACCAGATGGTCATCATTATCTTTGAAACCACATGGTTTGCTGAGGAAAATGAGAGTGTTGATGGATCAAGGCTAGATGCAGAAACAAACTGACATTTAAAGAGCTAATGGAGTATAATGACCATAGAGATGGGGAAGAATAAAAAAGAGAAAGGTGTCACAGGGCCATGCACAAAGCCCACTTTCTTTTATGTGACTGAAAAGGTCCTTGTTATCTGGCCACCTACCTATCTCAACTCATATCCTCCATCCTCCTCATGATTCTTTAGGGTTGTGAAATTTCACATACTGTACACCTGACCAATCTATACATGCTTTGCTTTTTGTTAGCTCAGGACCCCAGAAACATGGTCTTCACTCTGCCTGGAATGCCCCATTATTAGGTTATCTCTGCCAATCTCAAGTGCCAATTTATTTCTGAATCCTCCCTTAACATTCACAGCCATAATTAATTATTTGTTGCTCTATTGTTCTCCATCTAAGTTACAACTCTCTTAATCTGGAAGTTTGTTGATCCATTGCTTTTCTATTGTCTGCTTTCCTCCAGCAGAAGGTCAGAGTTATTCTACCTACCTGTCCTTTCTTCCTCTAAATAACTCACTAAAAGACCTAGTTGGGAGCTCATGAAAACTTACACAAATGACAGAACTAATGTGTCAGTGATAAGACAGATGGATTAGTAAATGTGGAGTGATCTAAAACCTGAAGAACTAATAAAAACAGAATGGTATTAGTCTTTTCTACTTTCTGTTTGTATTGGGGTCTGCTCAGGTACTGCATCCACTGGCAGTTTGCTTATAGCTTTTTTCTCCCAAATACGTTTTCTGAGTCTGCTCTACAATTACGGCTATGTTGGAAAGTAAGCTGAAAGGAGTCTAACATACTATGTCTTTCAGCGGGCTTTGGAAAGTAGATGTGGTGAGAATCTCTTATTGAAGAATTTCAGCTGATGCAGGCATAATTTTGGGTGATGAGTGGGTTCTTTAAATCATCCCACATAGATGGTTATCTACCAAACGAATACCTAGGATGTTCTATAAGTGAAATAAAAAGTCTTACTTTATGTTATTTCAGTTTGCAGTAAAAATGAATACTAAAGATTCTATGTGCAAGGGCTAATAAAAATATGATGCGTGCTCAAATTTAAAAAATATTACAGTAAAAGACAAACTTTTATTAATCCTTCTCAGAATATTCCTCCTCACTTTGAACACACTTATCCCATTATTCTCTTTTTGTTTGTTTTGTTTGAGACAAGGTCTGGCTTAGTAGTGCAGGCTGGCCTTGAACTCATTAGGTAGCCCAGGTTGGTTGCGATCCTCCTGTCTAAGCCTACCAAGTGCTAGGATTACAGGGATCGCCACCAGGCTTGGCTCTTATCTCATTACTCTTGCCCCTTTCTGAAGTAGCACTAGGTGTGATCAAAAATATAGTGAGTGCTGCTGAGTGCCATCTTGCAGAAAGGCAGCCTCATAAAAACACGACAATGTGTTCTCATCTACTATATTTGGGGATCTGGAAATGGGATTTCTGGCTCTTGTCCAAAGTCAAAATGGCCATGAAAGGTGGACATTTTAAACTCATTTAGAACACTGAGGCAATCAGGACAGTGCAACTGGATTTGAAAGAGGTCTTCCAGAACTGCTTCAGAAAGTGGCAAGAATGACAGAATAAGTGTTTTTGAAGAAAAGGGACTGTTTTGAAGGGGGGTTAATGGCAATGTGTCTTACTGTAATAAAGAAATTAAATATTCACTGTTGTCCTTGATCACAACTTTTGAGTATTCAGTTTGAAATGAGACTCTTTCAATGATTTACTTTAGGAAACGTCATTAAAATGAGTGATAGAAAAGGTCTTATCTGAAATATTTCACTATAAAAATATTTCATTTATTTCTACCCATTTGAATTCCATTCTGTTTAGATATTTAACATTCAATAGTTTTAAGAAGGACCAAATGGCTTCAAATAACATCTTTCTCCCAATTTGTAACAGCCCTTCATCTGGTCACTGGGCTGAGAATTGAGCTGAATCCTGCAGATTCCCTTCAATACTGGGTTTCATTCCCTCTGTCTTGTGCAGGCCGCTTTCATAGAAAACAGCCAAGAAAAACAACCCAAGCACAACCGGCTGCGAATTGACTTGCAAATGTACAAACTCAGACCAAAAAGTGAAGCAGGAAATCTTCTTTGAAGGGTAATTATCATAATTTATAATGGGCAAACCTAAACTCTTTCCAGTGTTCCTCCAAACTTTCCAGTGACTTCATTGGCCAGGACTGACAAGTTTTGCTACTTTTCTGCACATTCTCAATGCCTACACAGGTCCTGAAACCTGGAAAAGTATCTCCATGATCAATAGCTAGGAAACCACATAATATTTCTCTTTGGTTAGCACAAATTAACAGTAGGTTTATTAAAATGACTTAATTGTCAAAGGGAGGTGAGAGGGAGAAAGGAATCTAACAGGCTAGATATGTCTGTACTAGGATAAGTAACAAGGAATTCATATTCTAAAAGTTCCTTTAGCTCAGCTTTGCATAAAAAGGAAATATAGAATAGAAGATATATATTTAAATTTAAAATAACAAAGGAAATCAAACCTCTGATGAGTGCTGTTTAATTAAGTGTGTTATAATTTGGTATCAAAAATTAAATAAAATTCTGTCAATTACAAGTTAATTTGCTGCACAAGGGAGAAACTGAATGATTGGGGGAGGGGTAAAGCACTTAAAAACACCAATTTGAAGCCCAAATTACCCAAACTGACTGTTTCCATTGACAGATTAAATTATGTTTCAACATTAACATTTCATGAGAAACTTTATAAGCGAACACTTAGGAAATGATGATTGCTGAACTGAATAACAGGCATAAAACATAAAACAACTCACCCAGCCCCATATGGCTATTCTTTTTTCATCAATGAAACTCATTTCTATGAATTTTCTAAAGTAAAAGAAACAAATTTTTAGAATTTTAAGTGTGTACACATGACATTTACTTCATTACACAAGCATATTTAATCCAAAGATTTAATAGCAATGCTACTTTTTCTTTGTTTAAACACATGCGTACTAAGGTTGCATTTACAAATAATTAAAATAATATTATCTTTTTTTTTTGCAAAGAATAAAAGGATTCCCTTAGACTCCATTGTACATTTATTGAGTAGTGATCTCAGCACTGCGAGGCCTGGTGTCCTAATCTTGTGGATGGGTCACCCGAAACTCAGGCCTGAAGATAAGGCATAATAGCACTATTAAGTAGAATTGCATTTCTAAATTCTTGACTTTGGGGAAAAATTTTCGTTTTGTTGCTGTTTTCAATATTAATTCTTTATCACCTTTCTTGCTTAGTTGATGATAATCACCACTTCCTTTTTAGTCATAGTTCATATTTAGGTACCTTCGATTCATAGTATGGACAGTTGCACACATCTTTTAAAATATAAACATGATTCATTTTAACTCTATCACAGAAAAGCCTCTACCTGAAAACTATTTTGAAAATAAACTTTCCCTTAGGAACAACTGTTCATGAGAAAAACAACCTTTAAAAAGTCATGGGTAACCTTCCAAGTCCATATAAAACAAATATTTCAGCCTTGTTTACACCATGTCCCCTGATGGCAGGTGATGTGGAGAAAACTTGATTTGTTTGGGGACAGATTTGATAAATTCTCAAGGGTCTTTCAGAGAAACAGAAGCAGTGATGAGAAGGAACGGTTGAAGTGGTGGATGAGCAGCTGCAAGGGACGGAGAGGTGGAGACCAAAGAAGAACCCAGGCCCAGAAAATGCCATGGTTTTGTTTTCTAACTCAGGTGCTCTTGGTGCCCTTCCTTATCAGCTCTTCTCCAGAAGCAAAACTGAGTGATTGTCATTAGCCGCCTCTTAAAGGGATTTTACAGCAACCATTTCACTCATTGCATTGATTCAACATGCACGTTTCCGATGCACGGAGGAGTTGGGCAAATGCCCGGGACAAACAGATGGGAAGAGGCCCAGTTAGTCACAGCTTACCCGACACTGATTCTGAAGGACACTGAGACGTGTACAGGACAGAAATGCAGTAGCACATGGAAAGTTGCTACCTGTGTGGATGCAGCTCATGGTAATGCAGAACAAATGGGAAGCACACTGTGGCCCTTTAGCCATTCTTCCACAAACTCAAAAAAGTCAAACGAAACAAGAGAAGGTTCAGTTTCATATTAAAAATAGTTGTGCTGCTAGCGCTTGAAGATAGTCCTGAGCCATAAAATTCGTCGTGATTTTATGATCTCCCAGAAGCTAGCAATCATACTGCCTTGCATCTGGGGTAAAAAGCAAATAACAGGTAATATATGAGAACAGGAAATTCTTTACAGCTCCCTTCCTAGGTTTATTCTGAAAGGATGACATTTACAGGAAATGATAGTGCAATAGTTAACATGGAAATGAAACATTAACACTTAATGTGGCAGGACTAGGTTAAAGGTTAGCTAGATAATCTCAGCACTTTGAGATCAGCAAGGCCCTATAAAATTCACCACCAAATTCTGAAAATCTTCCAGGAAGTTTATCAGAAATACTATAGTTAGCTCAACACAATATAAGTAACAAATGAATTGGATGCTTTTCTGACCTTAGAGGAAGAATTGAACTTTTAAATTTTTCTCCCATAAAAGTGGTTACAGTCAAAGCTCAACTGGGAATCCTACTGATCAATTACTATACTATTTTAGGAATGTTCTTATGGATACTGTCTATGAAAGTATTATCAGATATTGCTTCTCATATAATTCTTCACCACTAATTCTCAAGTTATAGAAAAATTAAAAGCTGTAGGAATGTAAAAAATGCTAAATATACCACAAATGAGGGGACTTGATCCTATAACCACAAAATTTTATGGTTCCCTTATATTTGCCATTTTTAGAGACACCTGAAGAAAGCAGTCCCTTTTCAGTTATGCTTGTGACTTCACAGCTATATCATATCCTTAGAAACATTCTTTATTGCATACATAAAAGTTATGAGGATGTATTGCTTCTTCTTTTTTTCCCAGATTTACTTTGTTTAAATCTATTTGTTGGACTTCACTAGTATTTACTGTTGTTTCTAATTATATCTATATGATTTTCTTTTGGTATATAGAAAATTTAGGTAGATTATATTTCATAAGAAAGTCAAAGGGTCATACTTGATCCTCTGGGGGAAATTTGAGGATTACAATGTAATGTAATCCCAATTCCCCAGGTCAGGTATTCAGCATCTGAGTCCTAAAATACTTCTTTAGGAGAGAGGTGGTAGAATCATTCTCGGGATTAGCATTATAACTGTAGCCCTTTTAATTTTTTTGTTTTCTCAAAGCATTGGGTTCTTGGGCATTCTTTTATCATTTTCATAGTAGCAATTTCAAGCAAAGCCAATCCCTGAAGATATGCCCAGTGGTGAATGTGCACTGTGATTAGGCCATGCAGCCACCTCATGTGCAGTGGAGCGTTTACTAAAAGTTTCATGTTTCAGCAGTGCTGTTACCTCAGAGTGTACATGGTTCATCTCATTTGACTGGACTGTAAGTGCTTTGAAAGCAGAGATTGTAAATTTTATAGTTTCATACCAAGGGTAGGAATGTATTATTGTTTGATATGTTGTGGTTGAATTGGGGAGCAAATGAGTGAACATATGTGTGGCCTACACATCAAAACTTCTTCAAGTACCATCCTAAAGATGTATCAGAGAAGGCAGTGATATCTAGTTACTATCACTGGTACACCTTCAATGCCAAAGGTAACTTGATACTTCTGTGATGATCAGTAAAAGGTAGAATTTGTGGCTTTGTGTCCTATGTACTGATCACCAGAAATAAGAATTTTCATTTAGGTCTATACATGCTATTTGGGTTTAAAATTTCACTATACCCAAGGAAGACATTAAGAAGGTATTTCTTCTTAAGTTTGAGTGGTGAATTTATGGTGGTAAATCAAGAAACAAAAATATGATGTATTTTGTTGTTTTTGGTGGAGTTATGATGATGACAAGATAATGATAATAATGATCATGATGATTATGATATGAAGATAATTACTTTTTAACCAACTCCAAAACAGACTACTTTCAGCTCTGCCAACTTTGGAAAAGATCTAACTGAATTACAAGTGAGGCATAATTTTCATCTTGTGCTGTCATGTAGTCCTGTCTTACATGTCCTCGGTAATTATTGCATAGTTTGAATATAAATAAACATGACCCAAGGTGAAAAAAATACCCTGTGGAATTAAGGCTAGAATGCAATGCCAACAGTGGTGATAACATACTTGTTAAGGCATAGGCAGTATTTATATAAGAAACTAACATCTTGGCATAGTGTTTTTGTTTTTATTTATTTATTTTTTTAGTTCTTTTATTGGTACATTTTAGGTATACGATTCGTTTACATTTATCAATGGGTGTTTGTACCTGTACATGATGTATCTTGGTTCTTATTTTTTTTTTCCCCATTACCTGTGCACCCTTCACCCCCTCCATCGTTCCCTATGTGTTTCTGTTTTTAAATTAACTTTCCATTGCACAAACTTCCACCAAAGAAATTAACAACTCAAAGGCCAAAAATCTGAAACATTGAGGATTATGGAGCCTTTTAGATGTAAAGTGTTAATGATGACTATAGATTTTGGTATTGTTTAATAACCTACTTATCAATTTGCCACATTTTATTCAAATATACTGTTTTTAATTGGAGATTTTTTGTTTGTATTTTTTGTTTGTCACAGAATAGAATAAATATTTTAAAATGTATGAGTTATGATTACTTTTCTATTTGTAAAAATAATTACTTTTGAATCTAAACTCTTGTGGTTTGATTAGATTTAAAAATACAAAATGTGTTCTCTGGGCCTAATCCATGTCATATATGTTACATTGAAATCATTACCTATTAATGGTGTTAAAGTTGTAAAAGAAATGTACTAATGAATCTTCTAAATTGCTCTTTTTTGTGAATTGGTGTTTAACATACAGCTGTCACATATACAAAATTATCCATGGCTGAGAATTCGATTAATCCATAGTGTTTTAGATTTATAAACTACTATTCTTCAATTTCACCTGCTCATACATTGTAACAGCAACTGAACAACTAGAGAAATAACCAGAAGAATTCTGTAGTGTTCCCAAAGCAATAGTAATTGGGTGACAATATTCTTATTGCTTCAGGAAGAGATGACTGAACTATAAAATTGTGGGTGAAAATACAGTTTGGCAGAATCAGGTTATGAATTCGTATTTCCTCTAGATGTTTTCATAATATTATTTGTATTATGGAAAAAACTATATTTTTCTCAAATGAAAACTGGCATTTTCGTGCTAGCATAGCTGAACTTGAAGCTAGGTTAATTACAAATGAATGCCCAACAACTGAATGTACGGACTGTGAATGAAATCTTGAGCCATTTCTAAACTTAAGAGGTAGAATTCACAATGCTTGAGCAAATTCATATATTTTGTTTTCTGAAGATCATTGCTAGAGTCACTCAAATTTTCCTACCAATTATGAGCCCTGGTAATAAATGAAAGTATATTGAAAAGATTGACACATTTAACAGGCTTTTTGTCACTTAACACTATAAATCACTTTTCTACACATTTATCAGATCTCTTCTATAAATATATTTTCCATATTAGACAAAATATTCCTGAAAGAATAATGATTGGTTTGGACTAAGGTAGGAAAATAGATGAAAAGAATTAAGTCATTAGGAATGGAGAAACAGGGCTAGGGGTTTAGCTCAGTGGTAGAACACATGCCTAATATGAACAATGCTCCGGGGTTCACTCCCCAGCACCATCAAAGAGAGAGAGGGAGAGGGAGAGGGAGAGGGAGAGAGAGAGAGAGAGAAGAAAAAGAATGGAGAAGCACAGTAGGGGTTGCAGGGCATTTGTTGCCTGTTGACATCAGAAGGCTCTCACCTGACAGCTGTAATTTGATCCTCAACTTCATAAACACCCAGCTTTCGATATACTGCATACAGTATTTTGTCACCTTGGAAGGCTGTCCCTCGACCATCCACCAAGGCAATGACTATCTCTTCCTTACTTGCAAGATAAGATATCCAATTAACAGAGAATGTAGACCTTACACTCTGACTGCAGGGACCACCATACCTAAAGGAGGGAGAGAGAGAGAGAGAGAGAGAGAGAGAGAGAGAGAGAGAGAGAAAAGACAAAACCAAAATCAAAACAATTTCAGAATCCTTTACAAAACTCAACTTTTCATACTGGCCTCATATTACCTCTAGTAATTCCCAGTACAGTTATGGGATAAAATCTCAATAACAATTTCACTGGAACTGGCTCAAAATCAAGAGAAGATCAGGTTTTTCCCAGAGGTTTGCTGCAAGGAAGTTGTTTTGGGACACAGCCTCTCCTATTCCCCAAAACGGATACATCTAGGGTTGGCATTTCAAGGAATATGTGTGGGTTTTTCGTCATTTCTGCCACCTGCCACTTGCTAAAAGCAGACATAAGATATACTAAAAAAAATGCATGGTGTTTTAAGCAAATTGTGTGTAGGTCAGCACTGATTTTGGGTGTGATTCCACTAAATGTATTCCATTCCTTTATTTCTTTTCTGACTCAATTACATAAGATGTGAAGATGATTTACAATGTTTTTTTGGCTGCAATTTCTCTATCTCAAAGGTATTCTGACACATTCGGCAATTTGCCACACAAATGAAATTCAACACAACACATGCAAGCAAGTCCATCTAAAAATCTCAAAACTTCCTCAATCTATTTTAAATAGCCATATTTTATTTACTCTGATTAGTTGAGGAATATATAAAAACAGCATCAATAGGAACTGTTACCAAGGAGAATGGTTCATTCTATTTCATAAATCTGTATTTCATTCAACATATTTTCGGTAAATAGTTTTTAGACCAAGGAAAATATTACATACACTTGAATTAGCAAGGGATACTTCTTTGATCTGTCAAATTGAGGAGGAAGAATCATCTTGTACCATAAAGCTTTGAAAAAAAGACACGAGAAAAATCATTTCACAACATACGTGGCATCATTTAAATACTTTAACAACAATATACATCACAAAAACAGTTCATAAGTAGTCAATTGTTAAGAATTAAGAATATATTTTGAATTGATTTTTAATATATATTTTAGGTTCAATCTACAAATGACTAGAAATGCTGAATTACTGTTTGTTTCAGAAGCACAAATTCTAAAATTAAAATTAGATAAATTCTTTTAAAAAATATCAGTGTTGAAAAAAAGCTATGGAAAAGTATATGATCAATTGTATTCATAATCATGGTAAAAATTTAGCAAAACCAAGTACTGTTACAGTAAAATTATTTTTTAAAAAGAGCCTATAATATATCATATAGGGTTTGAACTATAATGTTTGCATTATAATTTTTAAAGCAAGATGAGTGTTTAGTTTTGTAAGTGAGAAATTTTTAAAAGATCTTACTAATTTCATCTACTTCAAGTTTCTTAATTTCTTCTTTAGGCAGCTGGATATTCTTTAAAGCGTTTTCCAATTCCTTGTTTTCTTCTAGGATTTTAATTTCTTTCAAAAACAAAAAGCTGAATTTAATTAATAGTGTTTCCATAATTTTTTTTCTTAAATTTCTTTGGCTTTAGTTTGGATGAAATTGAAACTGCGTACATCTCCCTTAAAGAATTTCATATTGACAAACAGTTTGAATCCAGCTTGTATAGCTGATATAAGTTTAGAAAGGACATTATGCTTCTATTGCTATCTCCTATGCAGAGTTTTGATTTCCAAAACACATTTTGAACAGAATCATAGAACCAACAATATTAACTCAAACACATTTGTTTTCCTATCCTGAACTTGTTTATTTTTTCAATCTAAAGTCATGACCTGACCAAATAGGTGACATTTCATTTATTATCTATTAAAAATATGTAGTCGATATAAAATCCAGATCACTTAGTCTTTAAATGTAAAATAATTATATAGTTACAGAATATTAAAATTTTCAATGTGTGAAATCAAATATTACTTCTGACATTTTTATAACTATTTTTAAACTTTTTATTATTGTTCTTGATGAGTATATAAATACTCACTTTTTCAGTAATTTAATAACTGTGTATAGAATTCTTTCAAATTTTGTCTCCCAAGGTTGTTGTATATCTCATTAAAACAACGTATATATGCTTTGCACTGTCTTGTATCTTTAAAAATAAAAACTGCAGGTTATACTTGAACTTAGTTTTGTTTCACCCGTTAATCTTTGAAACCGAACAAATCCATTGATCCTCTGAATGAGGATTAATGATAGATGAAAATTTACTTTCAGCAATATAATTATATATATTAATATACAATAAGCTTTATTTTAAACTGGAATTGTTAGCCAGAACATCTGAGAGAAAAGTTAGTCTTTCATATACTATGTGGACTTTGTAGCTTTATTTTATTAAAAAATAGGCTAGGTGACTTGTGAAATACGGTAAAAAAGACATTCGAGTACTTCTTGTTTATATGCCTTTTTGAAAAAATGGTCCCTGAAAATAGCCAACTGGAGACTTGTAACTACATTAAGTTTGCCAAACCCATTCATTTTTCTTGTGACTCTCAGTTTTCATATACTTGTGGCATTTTGCTCCAACAAGTTATATATAATCTCAGTGCAAGTATGGATGTTTTGGTAGGATTTGTATAAGATGCATAATAATTTTCACATTATCTTTGGGTAATCTATAAAGAAAGAGATACTTGTGACACCTTAAAAGTTAAAACCAAAAGCAAATCAATACATAATTCTCAGTAGAGCAGACCAACTCTTCACTCTCCTTGTGTGGATACTGTATGAAAAGCTGTGATGGATAAATGGAATCCTGTGTGGAGCAAGCACGCAGAATGGTTGATTGATGACTATTTTTATTATTTTACCATAGTTGCCGGAAATAGGGGGTGTTACCAAGTTGGTATGACTTTGACCCCTTCCTTGTTCTATTTCTAGCTGTTGAACTATTTTGACCCATGACTTAATGAAATGCCAAATGCAATTACAAAGCTGACCAATACTTCTATAATCAGAATCCTATGGATAGTGAGTGGGAAATTTTTTCCCACCTCTTGAAGCACAAATAGAATTTTGTAGGGCTATAGGAAGAGTGAGAGTGGCAATTGGACTCTTCTCCAGGGTTTTGCCTTAAAAGCCGATTTAACTGGCAAGGAGTGGGACAGTCCAGACTGTAGCTTTTACTTCCCTTCACTCATCGTTGTATATTCAATACCCAGGCTACTGGGGACCTAGTACGTGCCCCTTAGTAAGTGTTCCCCACTTATTTGTAGACTTTTTATTATGAGGAAATTAAGTGGTAAGAAAATTTATATTTGACTTTTGTTTAAATCATATTAAAATGCTATATTATTCACCAATTAAATTATGTGAAGACTGTGGAAAAGCTGATAAATGAGGTCATTCAGTCAGTTAGTTTTAATGAGAACTTGCTCTGTGCAAAGCACCTAAGCCTCTATTGGACCCTTGATGTCAAGTGCCAACTCTTCTGAGTTTCCATAGCACCTGGTTTAAGTACCGTCTGCTATTTTCAAAGGACTTTCCTCTTTTCAGGGAAAATGACGCCATTGCACAGCCTTTTATAAAGTCTACAGACTTTTATGCATTACTCCAATAGTGTCTTCATTCTCTCTCTTCATAGCACAAGAGATGAAGTCTTCCTCTGTCTCTGAACTGTGCCCTATTCCAACTTCTTAGGGACCGCCTTACTCTAATTCTTCAATCCCCTTTTGTCTCCTAAATTTCTTCCATCAGCATTTAACCATATTCAAATATTTATCACTGTTCAAGAAGAAAATCAAAACTCCACCAATTGCTTCCAGCCAGCATCCTACCTGTACCCTCCTTTCATCACAGTCAGACCCGCGGAAAACAGTGTTAATTCTTATTTGTCTCCTGGGCAGGTCTAACATTGCTTCAGTTCCGCTCCAGGGAAACTGGTCTGATGGAGGTATCATCTCACTCTTGCTATATCCACTAATGCAGACTAGGTCTTCCTTCACTTTCTCGACTGTGCACTTCCACTTTCTTCAGCTCTTGGCCTCTCTCACTGCTTTTCATGCCACCAACCCTTTGGCCTTGTTCTCTTCCTGATGTTCCCCCTTATTGTCCTTTACAGGATCATTTTTTATATTTCTGGAGTGTTGGTGTTCTGCACAATTTTGTTCTAGGCCTGTGATGGTGAACCTTTTAGAGAACGACAACCCAAACCCACTTATTTATCACAAAGAGCCAACACTGCAATTAAACTTGAATACTGAGGTTTTGAGTTCAGAAAAGACAACTTTATACACTTGGCTTAACAAAGAGGCACGCATGTCATAGGTTTGCCACTTTCCACTAACCCCATCCACCCTCATTTTCCCACTCTAATGATTTCGTCTATTTCCAAGGCCTAAGTAACTGTGTATTCCCTAATCTTGATCATTATCTCTAGTATAAGCTAACACTTTGACATCCACACCTAAAATTGTGTCGCTGCTGCAGGACAGTTCCCCTTGGATATACCATCAGTACCTTGAACTCAACATTCGAAACAAAATTCATTCATCTTCTCAAAGACCTACTGTCCACAGTAAGTCCACTCTTTCAGTAAAAATGCATAATTTTAATTCACTTGACCAAGCCCCAACCATCCAAACAGTATCGATCCCTCTTTCATATTTATGAGTCTCAGATTTCATGGAGCCATCATTAAGAAACATTTTCTAACTACATCAACAATAAGAACACCCACACGAGGTGCTCTATGTGCTCTCATGTTTCTATCTTTTCCCTGTCTTAGAACTTTATCATACTCTTTTGTAAATGTCTGTTCACAAATTTTCATTTCCCACAGCTCTCTAATCTCTTGGAAGATAGGGATATGTCTAACCCAGCCTCTATCATTTTATAGATCTAGTACTGAACAGTGTCTGGTTTAATTTGATAAATGCCAATAAGTGTCTATTGATTTTAAAGATGGCTGGCACAAACTGCAATAACAAGTGGGTAGAGAAGTTACAAATAAATAGAAGACATAGAATCTACTTTAAAACAGCAGCTGGACATTTATTCAAAGCACAGATTTCCATGCACAATCCAAGATTTACTGAATCGGAATCTCTGGGGAACACTTCAGATTCTGTGTTAAGGATAAACATATCAGAAGAATTTCATCATTAGGCAGGTTTATGAAATGGTGCTCTAAAAGAACTTAAATTTTGATTCATGAATTAGAAAGTATAAAAATACATGTGATGCTCCGGTGTGAGAAACTGAAAGTGCAAATAAAGATCAAAAAGAATAATACATATTGTGAAATAAAGAGAAATGGTTCGAAGTTATACTGTGCGAAATACATTGTTAATAATTAAAATGTTTCATGCAAAAAAGTACAGAATTATTAGGAAATGAGCTGAGAGATAGATTAATAAATGAAAATATATTCTTTTAAGATCATGATACACAGTATATTTACCATGGTTATTCTCTAATAACTTTTGTTAGTTCAAAGTGTTTCTTAATTTTCCTCAAGATTACTTCTTTGACCCATGTGTTACTTCGAAGTATTTTGTTTCATCTCCAGATATTTTAGGATTTTTACAGATATGTTACTGTTATTGATTTCTAGCTTATATTCTATTATGGTTTGAGGTAATACATTACATGATTTGTTATCTTTGTGATTTATTAGGTATGGACAATGCTATACTGCACTATGCTGAAGCTTTGTGGACATAGAAGGTACCTTTATCTTGGTTCTAAATATAAAAGAAATGAGTCTATTTTTATTGTTGTAAAATTCGCTGTAGGCTTTGATTTAGTAGTTTTGTTAAGGAAGTTTCCTTCAATTTCTTATTTTTGTGATTTTTAGTCTCAATTAAATATTAAACTTTATTTAAAAAAGAAAAAAATACATGTGATGTATACAAGAGTGACATGAGCATTTGTAAGCACTGAGTGAAATTATCAATCTTCAAAAGCAGTATAGAGATTAGTATTTGCCAGGAATATAACAAGGATATTAAGAAAAAAGGCTATGATGTAGAAATTCATGCTATAGGAAAAGGGAAGCTGGGTTTTATTTTAGTCATTATAAAATTAGAATTATATGTCTATGGTAATTTCAATTAAAACAAAAACATAAGGACTTGAAAGTAAATTGCTTTAAAATTTTCTCACTGAAGGTTGAAATGAGCCAAATTAAGAAATATAACCCACTATTTTTAAGAATATTTCATCATCAGACACAAGGTTAAAACAACTTCAAAATGAAACTAAGTTCACTGTTCCATATTACAATGACTGTCCTGTCCAGAAATCATGAATTGACACTATTTTCCTTATGACTTTATTTTCACCTACACTTGAGCCATTGAGCTGACAGCCAAACTAATCCCAAAGCAATGTCCCGACTTGTCACCAAAGCTGCCCAGGGACGATTGCAGGACTGAGTGCTGAAGGAAGTGTCATCTGCTTGTTCCTTATTGTCCCTCCTCTCCCATAACTCCAACCCTCTAACAATGTTTAACAGTAAATCAGACGGTAATGGAGAACCAGCAGGAAGAATATCAGAGCAACTGTACTCTATTTAGAGCAGAAATGGTCATCTCTGAGCTGTGAACTATTTTGAACCAATATCATAAATTCAGGAAGGAGGAGGACCGCCCTGATAGCAGTTGAAAATGGAAAGAGCTTCCAAATTTCAGGGCTTTCATAAGTGGTAACAATGTTATGTAGCTGTTAACAAAAAAAGCTAGCATGATAGTCACCCTCTGCTCTGAACTGAACTGAACTGCGGAAGTCATATCTAGAATTTGTCTCCGGTTTGGGATGCTTCAAAACAACAAGAGGGAAAAAATATTCAAAAAACAAAAGCGTCCCCAAAAAACAAGAATTCTTTTTTGAGGAGAGTGAATATGCTAAATTTCTTTCCATTTCTAATCTGTGCTTTTTATAAGGCCAGTTGGAGAAGATAGAATTAATCCTTGTGATAGAACTCATTTGTGTTATGTCAGCTTCTCACTGCAAATCATCATTAAGTTTCATATGATCAGGTTTGACCTGGTATCCAAATCTGTGTAATAAAAAGCTGCATCATAACATGATTCTATCACCATTCCTTTTTGTATGTGGAGCAACAGTCCTGCTCTCTGTAGTGGAATATCACAGAGAACTGAGAATGCCTTTAGACAAGACAGTAGCATGAAGGAGAAGAAAAAGTACCTTGGTCGGTGTGGCCATCATGGAGGGTGGAAATGGGGAGGCCTGGGCCTGCATGCAAGATGAGAATAAAACATGGTTTAGTATCAAAATAACTGTAGTCAAAATAACTGTAGTCAACAAGGACTTCAGGTAGTATTTCTGATTAGTGTCAAGCTCCAGTACATCTTTTAATTCTGCAGTGACTTTTTTCTTCTAGAGTAGAAACAGCACTTTTTAATTTATATTTCAACAACACATGATCTCAGACCCATGTCAAAGAACAGATTCATGGAATGCATTACCTGTGTGCTTTCTCTAGAATGACCCTGAATAGCTAAAATTTAATTACACAGTGGGACCTCAGAAGCTGCACTGGCAAATGGCTTTCTGGGAAGATGTCACACTCTATTGGGCCAGTTTTAGCTATGTCTTTATTATCAAAAAACCTTCACCAGTACCCAGGTTGCATCTTCAATTTGGCTTTTTGTTTCAATGGTCAGTTTTGGTGAGTAAAATCCAACTCTTCTTCATGTAATTAACACATGCAGAAAGAAATGGGTATGAAATGTATTTTCTTTTCATATAGGCTATGTAAGTTATGTTTCCCTAGAAATACATGTAAGAATGTTTGTGGGCCAGAAGTGTATGGAGGGGAGGTAGAGATGGTATTAAGAGGCACCCTAACCTATGACACTAGAGGAGGAAGGTTGGACAGGGGAGGAAGGTGAGCTTCAGTACTGTCACAGAGACCCAGCCAAGCCTCAGGGAGCTCTGAAGCTAGATAGCCTCCAGCGTTGTCTCAGTAGAGCAACAGGGCAGGCTTTTATCCCGCAGCATGGAACATGGTCACTGGACAGGGTTTGGGACTACAGCAATCTCCAGAGGGGAGCTCAGCTATAAGCTGTCAGCAACCAACACCCTCAGCAGCTGGAGAAATGAATCAATCACTCGTAAAGATGGAAGGTCTAAGGGCCGGCATATCAATGCCTACTACATATTCCAACATGAAATTTAGCTTCTGTAATATAAAAACTGGCCATTTCATTAAATGCAAATAATTAAACATTAATTTTCTATCACTCACTTGAAACATAGAATCAAATAATACCTAGAAAAACACCTTTAAAGGATGTGTTTGCTCAGGAAGTCAATGAGTTAAAGCATAGCACAAGTGGAAGCTGGAGGTAGATGCTCTTCCACCCCAACATCTCCTGCTGCATTGAGGGAAAATCTTTAGAGCAAAGCCCTTGGCTCCACACAGTTCAGAGGAGGGATACTTTTCTGACCATTTCTAAAAGACCCGTGTATGAACACTTCCTTCTGTCATGCTCCTGGCATCTTTCTGTACCTACTGAACATGTTTTTTATCTAGTCTTCAGAAGTTGTAAGTGTAATAGTGGTAAGCCCTGTGAGGGAAACTTGTAGCCATATGATTTTACCTATAATTGTGTAACTGTACTTCTGGGAAACAATATTTTAAAGCCACACATCTCAGCTGCATTTTCAATTAGCCTTTACAAATAATAAAGCTAACATCTTAAAATCCTGCCTGACCTGTCAGTCTAACTTGGGAATGGAGATAAGGGGTATTATTAGATTCTCTAAAAACTCAGCAGTGCTGGTGTGATAGCTGAAAGTTATATAGAATGTAATTGCAGAGATTTTCATTTGAGTCAGCTTTTCTTCAAAGTTATCAAAAAGGACAAGCATGCATACTACATTTTGACCCAAAGGGTAAGGAAATGAGACATGAATCTAAGTTTTTAAACTTTAATCAATCTGCATCTGTCCTATGGGATGTGCATGGGTATTCAGTTCCAGTAAAGAAAACTTTCTTTTATTTATTTTTTTTGCCTAAGATATGAGACAAACCAGTGATTGACTGTTTTTGACACAGGAGACCAAGGGTATAGTCCTAGAAGCCTAAGTAACAATTGTCTAGAATTTCTATTTTGCACTGCTTTTTTTCATTCAGCATCATCAATATGAATATATTCACCTACTTTAATCCTGTTATCTGGGACTTATCATCCCTTTGGAGAGTTTGAAGTTACGTAATGAGGCTTTACTCTTGGTCCTAAAGGGAAAAATTTCAAGGTTTTTCCTATGATGGTACAGTGACTCATTTTACTGGAGCTTCAAAAACACCAGACGATGTGATGCTTCCCACACAGTATATTTTTTGCTAAATGGGAAATTACCATACTGCCAAGGAAGAGTGAGTGGTAGAAAAGTCAGGCGATTCAAGTTCTAGAAACGACTCTTCCACCAACTTTTGATGAGAGCTTAGTCTTGATTCTGTACCTCTTCAGTCAATACTTACACTCTAATAGACATTAGAAAGGCAAAATGGTACAAACCATGGTAGATTGCTTTCCCTAAATGTTAAAGTATTGTTTAGTAAGAATATAAATGCATGTATATTAGCACAGTATCACCGTATCATTGATGCTTTTATCAGCAAATAAATCAGCTCAGAACAAGTTTCCTGGTAGACTTTGGAAAAGGTAGCAATCCTATAATATTTTCTAACATTTCTGTTTATTCTGTAAACATCAAAAGTCTATTATGTATTTGATAGTCTTCTTGACCTTATGGATACAAAGATTAAATAAAGCAGCATCTGTCTTTCAGGAGAGAAGGAGAGAGCAACAGATGACTGTATGGTCAGTTCAGTGATGCTATGTGCCTGGCATGTAAGCTTTCAATGTATGTTGCATAAATACAGAGTTTGGGTTGAAAATGTTGCATATAACTTAAGAGGGACATTTAATGTATACCTTTAAATGCCATAACCACAATCAGCACATATGGTCACGAACAACAATCTCTTGACATTTCAAAGATGCCACTAACCAAACATTTTATGGAAGTGTTATTTCAAATTGACATCTTGTGCCATCTTGAAGGGAGCATTTGGGTTACAATGCTTATTCATGTCCACATAGTCAAACAAGTTGTGGATCAGGTTCTAGGGTGGCAAGGGTGGCCTTCATTCTTCTTCTTTATAGGAAGTGCACACAGCGTTTCTGAAACTGAGCAGGAATCTCAAATACTCAAAGATTCCATTTGTTCTCTAAGTTGATCACCCCAACAGAGGGAGTTGATAAAGAAACAGGATGGTGGCATGCATTTTGGACTTCCTGCCAGATGCCCCACCCCATCCCCAATTGGGGATCCACTAGGAGGAGGAGATAGAGATAGAATAATTAGAGATTGTCCAGTTCAGTTTTCCAAATCTCCATGATGACTAATAAGAGCCCAATAAATTTCATTGATCTATAGTGTTTAACCTGTTTTATTGCTTGCCACCTGTTCAAGATAAAATTTTGTGTATAAACTAGAATTCTTTAAAAAGAAATTATTCATGAAATGTACACATGGCCTAAACAACTTGGAAATGTTTCATATATTTTATTACCTATTACTTATGTTTGAATGAATTACTTAAGATATTTTCCATAGCTGGGGATTTAGTTTAGTGGTTCTGCCGCCTGCATTGCAAGCTCAAGGACCTGAGTTCTATCCCCAGTACCAAAAAAAAGATATTTTCCAGATTTTGAAAGGATGTACTGAGTGACAGATGTTCATTTTCTATCCCTATGGAAACTCCGGTTCAAAGAATGATAGGCCTCCCAGAGACAAGACCTGTAAGCCATGGTTCTTTCCACTGGCTGTAAGAGTTTGCTACTTCTTTGGCAAATGAGGCCAAAGTCCAGTAACCATTTTATCAGAGAACACTTCTTTTTATGATATTGCTCCTGATGTCGATAGCTGGTAGATTGCATCTGCATGCAACGTCATGCTGCTGTGGAACTTGCTGGTTAAAAGCATGAGATTGACTGATAACAGACTCTTATCCCAATCCTAGCTGATGCTCATCAGCAGTGTACACCTTTGGCAAGTTACTCTGTTTCCTCAAATGCAAAAAAAAAAAAAAAAAAAAAGCGAGGAGGATAATAATACCTCCCTGCTTTCCTTTCATTTTCCCCCTTACGTGTTAGATAAAAGACTTACATATTAAAAGTACTTAGTAACTTGTAGCTAAGAACCGATCAGGGAGGTGGTGACAAGAATGATTACAATGACAGTGGGGATGGGAGTGCTTGTGTTAGGTCCGTTACCTACCATAGCAGATGAGTGCATAGTACTTGGCGTAGTAGCTGAAACTTGCTGTGTAATATTGGCACCTTTCTTTCCTTAGATGGCAAGTAACACACTTCTTGCTTGGAGGATAGCTTCCAATGCTAATTCTAGAGGGAAATGAAAATAAAACTAAGCTGAAATTTTGAGATTGTATTTATCAAAATGTACTACTCCATGTAAAGTGACTAATTTACATATTGACATCAAACCCACTCTATTTTTCTGTTGCCAATATCATTTAAAGTAAAGGGGAATCACAGTGTTTTGATGTAGCTTGATTTTTGATCCATTTTTGCCTGAAGAGGCACAAAATTTGAGGGAGAAGCCCTCTGAGGTTTTCCTGAAGTGGGAGAAATAACTAACATTTCCAGTGGGAGTGAAGTAGTTACTTCCTATAACCATTAATCTCTCACACTTTGCAAAATGGCTGGAAATCCAGAAAGCTTCATCTTCCCATCTTTCTTTTTCTACCACACAGCAAGATGTCCATGAAAAATCTTGCAGTATCACCAAGAAAGAGTCCCTGGTTTTATTCTACGGCTGAAAGGGCCAATTAATAATAAGCAAATGGGAACCAAGAAGCCAGTTTTATATGCCTCCTGGGCCTTTGTTCGGCAGAAAATTTGGGCTCAGGGACACTCAGTCTGGGAATGCTCCCAGTTCAGATTCCAGCCCAAGCCAATTTGCACCTTCCAGAGTGGGCCCGCCCTCACCCCAGAGGAGGCCCCTGCTTAGTTTCTGATAGTACTGACTAATTTTAATGGGTAAATTCCTGGTTCTTTTGACAACCCCTCAGAATTAGAATTCCCCTTGGTTGAGGCCAGATAGTGTAATGCCAGGGTGTGCCAGGGTCAAAACCCCATTGTGGCTGTCAGACTGACTTGCACCAACTTAAGAGCTCTTTCTGCTGCTTCCCTTGGCCTTGCCTTGGGCATGGCAGAAGCTGAGTGGTTCCAGAGAAGGCTGCTTCCTGACAAATAAGGTAAGGGCATGATCCTGAAGGAAACAGAGGACAAATTTCATATTTCCTTTGTTATGTTTAGTTTTCATGTTCATGCTTTGTTGTGATTTTGGAAAGGTAAGTGAAGGAGCTAACAGATCAGCATGCCCATGTACAGATCCTGACTTCCACAATATCACCTATCTCATAGTACTGTGGGAGTTAAATAAAATTATAGCTGTAAATCAGATGAAAAGGTACATGGCATATGGTAGAATACCAGTATGTGGTAAATATTGTTGCTATGTCCACATCCGCAAAGGAATACTGAGTGCATCATTCCAGTCACCAAAAGGACAGCTGGACTGACTTACATATTAATATAAATAGGACTAAAGATGGCTTATGCCCAAATCAGTTATAGTAGAGAAAATCATACTTTATTATGAAAATAAAAACAGTGCCCTGCATGTAACAGGTACTCAATTAATGTGTTAAATAAATCTCCTCAATGACTACTAGATTTTACTGAAGCACTAATAGTATTTATATCAATATTAGTGTTTTCTACTTTTTTCAACTCAACATGTTGAGTTACCTAACATTTTGGGAGCTTATGCTTATATGCTGACATAATAGCATACAGCATTCTCTGAATGTTTTATCTTTTAATTCAAAAATAATTTCAGCATGAAAGGAGACTGAGGCAGAAGGATCACAAGATCAAGTCCTGCCCCAGACAGTTTAGTGAGACCCCATTTCAAAAATAAAATAAAACAAAACAGGCTGAGAATGTGGCTCAGTAGTAGAGATCTCAAGCACCACACCCACAAGAAAACCTACTTTTCATTATGTTCCACACTGTAAAGGTTTTCCACATCTCCTGAGGATGATGCTGTATTTTTATTTAAGTATCAGTATTTGTAAATGCCAGAATTACCTGTAGATATTTCTTCTCCCAGGGTAACCTTCAAATTCATTGCTAGAATAAAACCTGAAAATATATTCAGAAATTATTTAGTATTGATGATTAAGTAATTATAGCATTGAGACTAATGTTATACAGTAAACAATACAGGCAAACATTAATCTAATGAAACTATTAATTGTACACAAACCATTGCTGCTCATAACTGAATTTTGGGTTTCTACTCTGACCTCCAAAGCATCTGAGAAAGGTTAAATTGTGCTGAATAGTCTTTTTATCATAGATATATTCTGTTTCATTATGAGTCATGTAAGATAAAATATGAATTCTAATTAATATTATACATTTATTTTCCATGATAAATAGCAGTTTGTTGGCTTTATTAATAGCAGTGTATTGTATTATTTTTGTCTATGATTGTAAACACATTTTGAATTTATTTTATAGAAGCCCTGACAGTAGATAAGTTTGCCACAAATCCCCAAACTGGGATTCCACATACCTTAGGGCCTGCTAATTCACCCAGATGCAAGACAAAACACCAGAGAACACTTTTGCTACCTAAGTATCCAGGTGGCTTTCTAACCTGTCTGAATATAGCTATGAAGTGGGAAATTCAGTTTAGTGACATGATTTTCATTCCTCTGTGAGTTTATCTGAATATAGCAAAGTAACTCACATTTTTTTTTCAGTTTCTTGCTAGTTTCAAGAAGAATGAACAGAATTCAACTCATTCCTAGTACCAAATTTACATTCTAAGCATATTTCTGGTTTATGTCTTTACTAAAGTCACCATCATCATTCACTTGCCTTTCCCACATCATTTCCAACAACCTGTAAATTAATTGCTTAGTGTCTTCCCCCAGCGGCTTCCTGCAGCTTTCCTGTGATGTTTCCTTCCCTGATTGTTCTCCTCACTGACACCGCAGTAGTCTGTTCTCTGTCTTTTCCCTTTACAGTTAGTAATTCATCAGTCCTGTTCAGCCTCCATCTGCCTTAACCAGCTACCCCTTCATCTCATTCATTTATCAAATGCGTATTGAACTTCTCTGTGTCAGGCACAGTACCAAGTGCTATGGATACATACAGAAGGAGGCACAGTTTTGTGCTCCAATTGCATACTCCATTGCTATTATTTTAGTTCAGGCCTCTATTGCCTCACACCAACATTATGACTGTAGCTGGGTCTTCTTGCCTCCAGTTTTCTCTACCTCTTAAATACATTGTGCCTGAAATTAGTCTCCTACTGTTTTTATTTTGTCACTCCCCTTACTCTAGTGATTTTAATGGCTGCTTCATATAATGTCTGAATTCCTTGTCCACCATTATATTATTTCACAGACTGACAATAGGTTTCTGATAGTGTCTGTCCGGTGAGCTCGGACTAATGTTCCTGCCCTTTTGCCCCTCAAATGCCTGCTAACGACTGGCAGATCGTGAGCACTAAGGGACTACCCCTGGATTTGTATTTGAAGCGATACACAGGAAACCTATCTTTCTGATTAGAAAGATTTACCATTAAATGATTATTTCAAGACAGTTTATTTAGATAGTATGTAGGATGAATTGAAAAGGAAAGAACTGAAAGAAAGAAGACCCCTGTTGAGGTTAAAAACAAGAGTCTTAGATTTAATGTGGTTTAGGTCTGAATCTTTGTCTGCCACTAACTGAATGACCATTGGCCAAGTTAATTAAAATTTCAGAGTATCAGTTTTCTCATCTGTAAAATGGGATAATCATTTCTACTTTACAGTACCTGGTACATAGTAATTCTTCCATAACTGATAACTGTTATAGATAATAATATTAAACTCAAACAATACTGAATCATTACAAAAGATTTTCCATGTTTATCAGATACCTTTCACTGAATTTTGAAGCTTGCATATTTTGCTGAAGAATAGTTTGCCTTTAAATCCATTTGTTATTTTAAAATTTGTATAATTTTCACATAATTACCTATTAAACATCAGGAGAGAAACAACTACCTATTAAAGGGTCCAAAAGGAATTCACATAAACTAATTATTAAAGTCTGTGCAATCTTAATGAAACACAGCTGTCTGAAATAAACTATAGAGTAATGAAAGTGCTCCTTTAGTGAACTAAGAGAGATGGTACAGTATCATTTGTATGTCCATCAGTTGGTACTAATTAAAATCTGAATGGTGTATCTTGCTTCATGGAATACTTACAGTGAATCCTGTGTTACTCTGAGTATATTTATGGCCTCCCACTTGCCACTTGTAATTTGAATAGCATTTTCCTATAAAAAGACAAACATTATGTTGTGTGAAGCCGAGCGTTATTTGAGCAACCTCAAACGAATGATCTTTGAGGAGATAAATTTTAGAAGGAACGTACCACAGTGTCTTTGATATAGTGAATATGTTTGTAGCCATCCTTGTCGCTAAATATTTTGTAGTATGAAGTGCTATCATAGCTAAAAACTGGTGTTGAAACAAAGAACTGAAAGAAATTAACAGAGGTTATGTTAAAAAAAGGGACAAACCTAATAGCTAAAACCATAGATTTTTTTATAAAAGCAGTGTGTGGTCATGTTTATAGGAGTCAGACTGCCTCACCTCCCCTATCATCCATCACTCAAATCTGAAATTCCAGCTTTTCAGATGGCAACTATTCCAGTGATTCTCACAGGCACTTGCACTTTCCAGTAGTGCTTGGTTGTTACTGCATGCACTTGGGCTTGTGATGCTAAAGTTGATTAATTTTCTATGTTCTAAGGTCTTATCTTTTGAAAGAGTTAAAAGAATTACAAATAAGTGCTGATATTTAATCAACACAAACTTTAAAATGAGGTATTTAAGCAAAGTGTGACTTTTATTAGAGCTTATAGCACTTTTAATTCATTTGTCTAATGCCAAGCACCTAATGTCAATGATTTGATGAAGACATTTTAAGAATTAAAATACCTTGAGGGGAGTTTACACTTTGAGACAGGAAGCCCAACTGCCTCTACTTAATATGTGATGGGGACCACATAATTATATAAGGCAGGGGGTCCCTAATCCCCAAGCTGTGAACTATTAGGAATTGGGCCACACAGTAAGAGGAGTGGTGGGAGAAAGAGCAAAGCTTCATCTATATTTACAGATGCTTCTATCACACATATTACTGCCTGAGCTCAACCTCCTGTCAGATCAGTGCCAGCATTTGATTCTCATAGGAGGGGGCATCCTTTTGTAAACTATGCATGTGAGGGATCTAGGTTTTGTGTTCTTTATGAGAATCTAATGTCTGATGATCTGAGGTAGAGCTGAGGTAGTGATGCTAGCACTGGGGAATGTAATTATGTATCACAAATATACACTATTGAAAAAAAAATAAACAAAAAAAAATAAGAATGGCTTTGTTCTGTGGAAAAATTGTCTTCCATGAAACTAGATCTTAGTGCCAAAAAGGTTGGGAACCACTGACATAAGGAGTGCCGGACATTCCAGTGTGCCTTGGAACAGGCACACCTCAACATCCTAAACAGTACAGATAATGGAAAGTCTGCCAATGTCCTCACACCAAATTTTCAAAAATAGTATCATGTTTCTCACATTAAAAAAATTTGTCTTACTTTTGTTAACATTTTTTAGAATTTGTAAAATAGTTATATGAAGAAAGAGCTACTGTACATCATGCATAGTGGCTATTTCCATGGATAATTTGAACCATGTTTCTCTAGTTGGTGTCCTTCTACCTGACTATAGACCAAGATATTCTGAGCCAGGCAACAAAAACAACCATCAAAACCTACCAATCAATCAAACATACACAAAAAAGTATCTTCTAGTTACAAATTTGAACCCTGCTGAGATCTAGTCTGAGGTCCATTTTTGAATGAGTTTAGAGGATGTCACAGTAGGCTTCTTTAATTGTGTCACCATAGGTGATTTGATACTTGATGCCATTTAATAGAATTGATCATTTTTCCCTTAAAAGATTGTGAATATGTGACATTAAAATGCACTTTATTTGATGCATCTGTAGTGATGTATTTAAATATTATCCCCAAATTCATTTCCACTTGAAACATCAAATTTTGTTTGGAAATAGGGTCTTTGTAGATGTAATCAAGAGTTGAAGATATGATCATACTAGATTCATGGAGACCTTAAATTCAATTCCTGAAGTTGTTATAAAAGATAGAATGCAAAGAGACATAGGTAAGGAGACTATGTGAAAACAGAAGCAGTAATTAGAATGATACAGCTGTAAACCAAGGCAAAACACAAAAGATTAATAGGAGCCATCGGAAAGTAGAAGAGACATAGAAGAATTAATCCCTGGAGCCTTCAGTGAGACAGCAAGGCATGACTCTGCCAATGCCTTGATTTCAAACATCTACTGCCCCCCCCACCAAAAAAAAATGAGAGAATGAATGTTTGCGGTTTTGAGTCAACATATTTGTGTAACTTGTTATAGTAGCCCTAAGAAACTAACACAGTGGGCTAAATCTTAGCACATTGGCTGTTTAATTAAGTGGAGACCGTGAACCTAATGTTGTCTTCATACTTTGTGTTTTATACAGTGCAACCTAACACCAAAACCTAATTTAAGAGTGTCATAAACAGTTGAGTTACAGCCAAATACAAGCAGAAAACTCATCACATTATCCCCAAATAAGGCAGATTCCTAGCTATAGCTAATCAGGTGATTTCTCTACTTTGCCCTGTGTTCAGCTCAGTGCTTGCATTCTTGTGTGGAGTTCTTTGAAGCTCTTCCAATTCTGAGGGATGCCCAATTCATGAATTATCCCTTGCTCAAATAAATTCTACTAAATTTAATTTGTCTAAAGTGTATCTTTTAATAAATCTTTAACAAAAATGGAACAATGAGAAACTGCTGTCTCCTTATATTAGTCCTCCATTGGTTTCATTAATAAGATCAGCTTTGGTAGGATTTTGGATAATAAACTAAGGCTTTTTGGTGAAATAAAGAAGCAAGGGCCCAAGAATAGGAAACTTGTTTGCATTTTGTGGATGAATTTTTTTTACTATAGGTCTTTGACAAAATCATTTCATTTCAGAATAAAGTTTTGCCCCAAAATGATATAATTACCTACTCTTACTCTTGAATGTGAAAGACAAGAATTTGTTCTACATTGTTTTAATCATTAAAATGAACCCGAGTCACAAAACATTTTAAGGTAACACAGTAAAAAAAAACCAAATTATTCACAGTATTTCTAGTGAGTTAAGGGATTTTTAAATAAAGTTTTGTTCTGAATTAAAACTTAAAATTTCATTTTTATTGAAAGTAAAAAATTAACAAGGCAGATTATTATATTTTAAAATATTAGAATCATGCAAACAGGAAGAATCCTCTTGTTAAGCAAAGCCTATTATCTTTCATTACGCACAAGGAAGACAGCTGCTTTTGATGATCAGGTAACTTGGATGAGGTAAAGAGAGTGTGAAATATTTCCGCTCTCATCTTGCCAGACCTGGGCCAATCACGCACTCTGAGTTAAGTGCTTCTTGCAGTGTCACACCTGGACCTTAGATAAGCACACACAGTGAGGCTGTCCTCAGTTTTAACAATTCTACTACACTGGTCCTTGGATTTCCTGATAAACTGCTTATTTCCAGGTGAAATGCAAAATCATTTAAAATATTTTACTTGGAAAGTAAGATTATTTATCACCATATCCTATCTTGCCATAGCTGTTAAATGACATAGGGTTGATGCCTAAACTGAATTCACATTTAGTCGAAAGCTCAGGCTTCCAAACATCAATCAGAAATTTTTTTTTTTTTTTAGCCAAGAGCTTTTGTCAACAGTATAAAGAAAGTATAGGATTTTTAAAAAGTTATTTTAAAATATCTTGAGTGTGGCAATTTTAAGCATTATATTTTCAATGCTTGTTATCCAAACTGGAAGGATTAAACACTAAATTCTTTCATTAAAACTTCCTCTCTTTTTTTGGTTTAAGCACAAGGAAACTTAGTTAGAACACATTTGATGGTATTTTTCTTGAAGAAAAACTTAGGTTGTTTACCCCAATTAAGACGAAGAATGTGTCATTGCTGGAGGAAAGAAGTGGTAAGTTCAAAGGAAAGCTACTTGCTAGCTCTGTGCCTATAACTAGCAAGTCAGTTTCTTTTAGCAAGTCATTTAATCTCATTTAAAATTTCACCATTTATTTATTTGTTTGTTTATTTTTGTGGGAATTAGAACCCAAGACCTCATGCATGCTAGGCAGGTGCTCTACCACTGAGCTGTTCCCCCAGCCCTACTTTAAGTCATAGATAATTTCCAAAATTCTCAGTTTATATTTCTGATAAATTCTAAAGGAACCAGTTCTCTGAAATTGCTTTTTAAGTTTACTAACATCACTAGCCTGTCTGCTTTATCTAAAGATTCAATAAATATTTGAACAAGAGCTGGGGATGTAGCTCAATAGTAGACTACTTGCCTAGCATGTGTGAGGCTCTGGGTTCAAGCCCCCACCACCACACATATATATGAATATTATCTGAGAAAACGTGTAAAGAACAGATATTTCTTTTTCATGTTATTTCATTCAGTCCCTAGTTCATAATTTATAGTTATGACTATGAATGGCTGTGCTCTTTTTTCAAAGGTAACAGGAGAATTTGCAAAGCAGGAACCTTGAAAAAGTATGAAAGCTGGTACTACAAAGTTTTGAAAATTTCTCTTTTGGAATTTAGAAAGTTAACTGACAGGTAAATTTTAAGAGATTGAAATGAGTACATAAGAAAAATACATTGTTTCCAATACAATTCTAAAACTACAGAAACTAAAATGATCTGGCATAAAATCACATGTCCCATATAAAGAGCTCATTTATTCACTAGATTTAATTGGGAATGCCTTAGGACTTAATAAAGGGACCTCATCTCCCAAATGATGCATATGTTCCTCCATTGGGAGTATTTAAAGAAAGTATTCTACAACTTTACAAGGCCATTCATGTATTCATTCATTCATTTATCCAACTCATGTTTGAGAAAGTAAGGTTGGTACAATATGAATTTAAAAAATTTTAAGGGACAGTTCATCTCAAGATGCTTATAAGGACAACTTTTCAATGGATGGATTCTAAAATGTTTCAGAGTGTGGTTTAAGCACTGCAGCATTTTCAGAATAAATGTACATGGATGTCCAAGGTAATCTCTTTGAGAAGGTTGTTGGTACCACTGTTGATCTCTTTGTAAAATCACATCATCCAATATTACTTTATAGAAAATCTAGTTACATTATCATCATGAAGAACACAAATATTTTCAAGTACTTCCTTCTCCTCATTCTTTTCTAGAAATCTTTGAAATTAGAGTGAATTAGTAGATTAACTTTCCCCTTTCCTCAAATTTTCAAACACTGACTTAGGAATAACCCAATTGATCAAGAATGCAGAAAATTTATAGACTATCTTTCTTTTGCTGAATATTGCTAATTTTCCCTGTAATAATGTAATACAGTGGAAAAGTGAATTCAGATAAGACTTTCTTACTTTTTTTTGAATTACATACCTATGCTTGTTACTTCAGGATGTAGTTCCATTTAAAATAATAACTATTCCCTAGTTAAAAAAACTGAATGTCTTTCATTGAAGACTAAGTATATAAACAGAGTGGCATGTAAACCCAAAAACACTGGAACAGAAAATGTACAACAAAGACATTAATATGTGAAGACTTTTACCTTCTCTCTAGCCACTTTGTTTGAATTTTATGGGACTTATCATCTTGGAATTGATTTTTGAATTTTTTACTGTTCTTATGTCATGGACTAATGTATTAAACGAAGTCCTAAGAGTTTCTTTTTTGCATAATGTGTCCAAATCTCTGAAAAGCTACCTTCTCTGAACTCAAATGCTGGTTGAATTCAGTCATGGGTTTGTGATAAGTGGCAACATCCACTTCATATTCAGTTATTCTGTGTCCTATGTTTATGTAAGATAAAGTTACAACTGATATTTCCCTAAAATATGATTTTATACTAAAAATCTTCATATAAACCTATACAAAACTTCCAAGTAAAAGCAATAACAAAACATAACAATATACTTTTTTTTAATTTGATACAAGTTGTTACTTAAAAACTGGTATGGATATACCTGTATGGAATTCAGTTCAGTTTTTATGAAATTTAATATGTGAGAGCTTGCCTTTAAAGTAGAAAGATTCATAATGTACTTACTTTTCTTGAATTCAAATGATTTTCCCTGGTCTGGCTGAGATTGTGTTACCTTTTGAAAATTGGCCTTTGTTTTATGTATTTAAAGAAGTAAGATCTTTAAGATATCAGGAAGTCAGTTGAAAAACTTGAAGTTGGGACATAACGAATATGATTTGTTCTAAATAGCATTCCAAGAATATGGACATTGAAATTATCTAGCACAAAATCACTTTGTAAATCACTACCTTTGTGTTTTTTTATCTTGATTTTTTTTTTTTTACAAAAACAAGTAGTGCCAGTTTGGATACACTATAATTAACCCTTTGATAGCTGGGCATATGTCACATGTCATTAACATATAAGGAAAAGATAGAAAAATCATACTCCACCAGCCCAGCCAGTTCTGCTTTCTTCTACATGCTCTCGGGTCTAAAAGACAAAAGATCACATCAAACATAGCATCAGTAGATTACTTTTTTTCTTAAATACAATCTAGATATTTGGAACCAGTTAAACTGCCTGATCAGAGTCCTACTCCTAGTCACCTAATTTCAATCTCAAGTTTAAGATTAAAACAGTGCTTCTGTGCATGCACGGATCATGTAAGAGCTGGATTATTGGTTATTATTAGTTATTGCTATAACAGTTAGCCTACTTTGCAAATATATTAACTTGAAGAATGAGATTTCTAAAGATGTCAGGAGAAGAGCTACAAAGTAAAGAACAGTCAGTGAGGCAGAAGGAGAACCATGACAAGTGTACTACTATAAAAGCCATGGGGATAATACATTTTAAGAACCTGGTTTGGATTTTCTCCTGTATGGATAGGCCAGTACCTCAGAGAGAACAAGACAAGATTTGAATAAGTTGTGGCATTTTGTATTGTTTATTTTTAGCCATAAAAGTCAAATCAATTTGAATACCCTTTTCAGAAGAAAAATTTAGAAGTTTCTCCGACTACAAATTTTTAATTAGAAACCTCACCAGTATAATTGCACATAACCACTACTGCCAGTTCCGTTTACCTCTTTATTTTGAGACTGACTTTTAACATGAATAAAATATTGATAGGTCATTTAACCTTAAATATGATTGGTTTTTAGAACGCAAACACATGTCATTCATGATTATGGTTACTGGAAAATTTAACATTGCTCTTTTCAAACCTGAAAATGTATCCCATGTATTTAGCAGACTATTTTGAAACAGAGGAATTCTATGTTTATTCAGATTTCTGGCTAAAGTTTATATTGCAGGGACTTTTATACTACATTGAACGTGCATTTTTAAGTGCTCCGTCTATTTAGGTTAACGATATCTTAAATTTTGATAAATTAGAACTTCAGATTCAAAAACAATCAATTTTTAAATGACTTTTATTAGCTAATAATTGTGCCGAAATAAGTCTCACAGTTTTCAAACAGATAAAATTAAAGCAGTAGTTTCTGATACCTCAATTTAGTGAAAGTGTTAAAGATACATTTGACAAAAGCTGACTAGACGAATGGTTTCTAACTAAGTATAATTAAGATCAGTCTATCCTCCAGCCCTCTCCCTGTTTTTGGGGGGCTATGGTACTGCATTTAAGCCAAAGCTTTCTGCTTTGTGTATCAAACTATAAATAAGATAAAAATCAGCTTCTAACATATTCTTCTAAAAATCAGCTTCTTACATATTCCATCAGAATTAGTCAGATCACTTTCACAGTAGTGACTTAAAAACTATTTTTAGCTTAGGTAATTTTGACTACGATAGTACTAATATACTTCCAGAAAGAATCATGACTTTTTGCTTGTAAGACACAGTGTCCTCATTTCAAGATGGACTTTGGTGATATACTTTGATTGCTCTCTGCTTTTCTTCTTACATTGTCAAATAGGTTATTGTATATGTGGTTTAATGAAACATTTCTTCATAATTTGAAATCTCATGAAATGTACCCATCAAATTTTCTATTTTAAGAAAACATATTGGATTTCTCAATGTCTAAGATAAGTACTAGGAACAGGCATATTTCAGAGCTTTCAGATTGGAGAAATAGTTTTTGACTCATTAATTTGAATAGATTATATGTGGATTTTTATTTGGCTGCTATTTTGGTAGTAGATCTATTCCAAAATTATAAAGTTCCCCTTCCCCCAAAAGAGAAGACACTGGCCTAAGATAACTGTGTAATAGGAAAATTTGATCTAATATTTCATGTCATGTTCCCAGTCATCCACTTTTGATTAAAAAATGGAAATGTTTGGCTTTCTTTTGGTAATATCCATTTCCTTTGAAATTTTTATTTTTCAATTTTGACACTGAATAGAAAGAACATGCCTCATTCACATATCTTCTCTGACTCTCCCACTCAGCTTGTATAAGGATTGAACCCAGGGTCTTTGCACTGGGCTACATAACCAGCCCTTTTAATTAGTTAATTGAGACTGGCTCTTGCTAAGTTATTAAGTTGTTCAGGTTTAACTCAAACTTCAGATTCTCCTGCCTCAGACTCCCAGAGAACTGGGGTTATAAGCATGTGCCACCGTGCCTGGCATTCTTCTCTGATTATTTTATGTAAAACATATCTATTTCTTTAGTAGAAACATTTTATATTTTTGTCTTCATAATTTTGCTTCTGTTAACTGTTAATCTTACAATCTCAAAAGATGGATGTGCATCCTAATAGAGAACCAGATACCTAGGTTTCCCAGTGTCATATTGACTAATTGTTTTTTACTCAATTTCGAGTTAAGGTCATTCAAGAAAACACCATGTATCCTATTTATTTAATAGAAGTGCTGGCTCTATGCATACGGAGTGCATTTTGTAAAGCAGTCATCAGCTGGATGAAGTAATTCTGATTTTAAAGTATAAAATTTTAGTTATAAATGAGTCTGCACTACTGTACTTCAGTTTTCAGAAATACATATCAGTGGTATTAATATGTCTTACCTTTGGACAATCCCATGTATTCCAGTCTTCCCTGAAATCACATATAGACAAGACTGAAACATTCTGAACTCTTTTTAGCCACTGCAAACATATTCGGTCATCAGTAACCCATGTGAGCCAGCTGAAATAATAATCACTGCAAATAAATCAAAACATGTTGTCAAAACCATGAATGTATATTGCATTTAAATAATTTCATTATGTATGTTTTCTAAAGATTTTTTATTATGGGATACTTATTCAGTAAATAAGGAATACACAATTTCTGGATATTAACTCTGTCTACTGATTTTTTAAAATGTCTGTGAGAGTTCACTGATCTAATACTCATACTTGCAGTTTTTTCTCCATTTTCAACTTTCACATCTTAGAAAATAATTTAAGTAATAGACCAAAGCTATTGGTCCTTCTAAAAGGGAGCAAAGCCTTACATTTGCTATTTTTTACAGGGAAAGTCAATGTTTTACTTTTTAATGACTGCAGAGAGAGTCAAGTAAAACAAAAACACCAACTCTGTCTCCAGACAAGTTTGCGTTGGAAGTCGACCTTTAGCTGTTTAGTGTTGAAATTTGGATTACTATAATCATCAGATGATGTATCGGAAATAATTGAAATAGTATTTGGTACATAGTAGTTTCAATGAAGAGCAGCAATGATTACTTGACTCTGATGATGCTATGCAGATAGAGAAGATCAGTGTAAAATGAACCACAGAACTTTGGAAACTTCTACAGAGCTGGAAAGAGTCTCAGGCCCAAATCCTGGCAGTATGTCTTGTGAGTTATATAACCTCAGGCAAATTATTTAACCATTCTGTCTGTTTCTACATAAAATGGAAATAATAATATTACTAATTTTCAACCTGTAAAGACTATCTAAAAGGGCTTAAAATTATGCCTGCTACATAATCAATGTTTAAAATACATGGCCTATTGTCAATAAATGGTTAGTATCTTACATGTTAAAACCAATCTCTTGACTCCTTGTATGGTACTCTTTCTATCAGTCTATTTTCCACCTAAGGAGAATAGTGACTTTTTAAATGGTATATTCAGTCATGTTTCCATCAACCAGGTTTGGTTGGGAGATAGAAGATAACTTGAAAAGTTAAAGTTATTTTTGATTACCCCAAATAGGTTTACCCAGAAGAAGCCTCTAATGGGTTCTTTTCCCTAGGAAATTAGATCAACTTTTCAGATCTGGCTGATTCTTCTCCATGGGGCAGGAGAAGAAGACTAACTCTTGATCTGGGAATTTGGAAGTGGTAACGAGGCTTAAAGGTTAGGGTATAGAGCCCCTTTCCCTCTCCCATTTCAACAAGAAAGACCAGAGGACTGACTGAGGGTTGGAAAGTTGCTGTAATTAGGGTTAATCAGAAAAGAGCTACATAAACCATCACGCTGGTGAGGTGAGAATACATTTCCCTGTTTGCCCATACATATTCTCTAAATATAATCCTACCAGGTAATTGAAAAGAGACAACTTTCTGCTAAACAAATTAATATTGGGAGAAGGTTGGCTTTTCTTTTCCTGTTTACCATGAGCATATGATGCACATAGATCTATATAAGCCTTGGTTGAAGGAAAGTACACCACACTTAAAAGGAGCCATGCCGAGGGCATGTATCATATGTATGTTGTATATTGTACAACATTGTATTATCTCCCTGCTTAGATTGTTCCTGTGATCACTTTAATTTGTGTAAAAGGTCTTCTTTTAAAAAACCAATTTGTGAGAGTAAATCTTGATTAACAAACTCTAAAGTGTTTAAATTCAGTTATAAAGATGGAGGAATCTGAGATTAATTACCTGGAGGCTATCATTGCTGGAACTGGCACTTCTCGGGGCCCAGGATACTGAGGGTAGGTGGTATCAATAATAAATATCCGAACAGTAGGATTCTTAGCCCCAGCCTGCCAAGAAATGAGGCATATAAGCTTATATAATCCCAATTATTACCACCTCATAGACACTTTAGGAATTTAAGCATATTTTTTGATACCCTATTTATATGTGACCAGAAACTTTATTTTATTTTTACTTTCAGGGCAATGACAAATATTGTATCAATCAGAGAAAAATACATATTTTTAAGTACTTGATGAGAGAGCTTTGATTTATAAGGGAAAATGTTTGGGACATAAAACTGCAGTTGTATAATCCACATACATTTTTGATTTTCAAAATAGTTCTCTCTAATAATAATAGTCATATCATTGTGTGTTGAGGAGTGTAGGGAGGGAGGGAGATTGGTCTGAGAGCAGAGTGGAAAGGAAATAAATGAAGCATCCTCTTTGCTATTGCCATGTAATTTGGATTAGGACAATCACCAAATGCTCAGTAAGCTGCTGCATCACTACAGTTACCATCCCAAAAGATTAGGAAGATTTCACTTCCAAAAAAAGTGTCCATGGGATTTACACTTTTCTTGTTTTGTGTTTTCTGCACTACTGTGTGCCTAAGATTTACATGACAGTATAGCTCATGCCTAGACAGTTTCTTAGGATTCCTGTTATTTTAATACAGAATGATAGTTTTACAGTTATAATAAAATTTAAATCTGCAAAGTTTAAATACAGAGTGTTCAATGATTCAATGCTGTTTGAATTCTGAAGTAATGTTCAGTGTCTTCTCAACTTCCCCGGGTCAGCTGGGAAATCCTTTTTTCTTTGGAATTTTCCCATATTTCTATACAGCACCAGATGTTTCAGAAACTAGTCTTCAAAGAAGCATGAGAATTTGGGTCCCAACTTCCCATCCCTGTAGAAACTCTTCAGTTCTGAGATTTCTTATCTGTTCTTGCTCTAATATACTCTCCCAAGGATTCAAGTTCTTTTTAAGTCTTATTTCTTTGGTCTCAAGAATCAGGCCTACCACTACCAAGCATATTCAGTTTTCCGACTTTCTAAACAGTCCTTGAGAGGTCTCCTCTCTAAACATTCATCTCATATATGCCATTAATAAATTAATTTATTAATTTATTATTGTAGTTGCGATTGAACCCAGGGCTTTACACTGAGACTGAGCTGCATCCTGAGTCTTTCCTTTTTTTTAGATAAATTCTTGCTAAGTCCCTAAATGCCCACGCTAGGCTTGAACTTGTGATCCTTTATTCTCTGTCTCCTAGAGTGTTCAGATTATAGGTGTATACAACCATGCCTGGTTTAAACATGAATTTTAGACCCCCAAATTCAAGACCCAATTCAAAAATAGTCATCTGAAATGAACAGACATTTCTCAGCCAAAGAAGTAAAAGGAGCAAATAAATATATGAAAAATGTTCCACATCACTGATCATTTGAGAGATGCAGATGAAAACAACCCTGAGATTTCACCTCACCCCAGAAAGAATGGCTGCTATCACGAAGTCAACCAATAACAAATGTTGGCAGGGATGTGGGGAGAAAGGAACCCTTCTTCATTGTTGGTGGGAGTGCAGACTGGTGCAACCACTGTGGAAATCAGTATGGAGATACCTCAAAGAACTAGGGCTAGAGGTCCCATTTGACCCAGCTATTCCCCTGCTGGGTATCTTCCCAAAAGAATTAAAAGAATCATACCACAGTGATATATGTGCACCCATGTTTACAGTGGCACAGTTTGTAATAGCTAAAGCTTGGAAACAGCCCAAGTGCCCATCAATTGGAAACTAGATAAAGATGTGTGTTTTTATAAAATGGAGTAATACTCAGCCATAAAGAATGAGAAACTAGAGACATTTATAGCTAAATGGATGCATGTTGAGGCAATACTCTTAAGTGAAATAAATAGGACACGTGTAAATACCAAATAGTTTCTCTAGTGTGAGAAACTGAAAGTGTAAATAAGGATTAAAATGATTAAAATGAATTATTGATAATTTGAAATAGGAAAAGGTCCAAAGGGGTAGGGGTGGTGGGAGGGGAAGGGGAAAGGAAAGAACGGAAAGGAAAAATTATGAGAAAAGAAAAAAAATGGAAACGAATTGTATGTAAATAAGGAAGGGTGGAGGGAGTGAAGGCCGCACAGGTAATAGGGAAAGAAAGAAGAACCAAGATACATCATGTACAGGTACAAGCACCCAATGATAAATGTAAATGTCTTGTATACCTAAAATGTACCAATAAAAGAATTTAAGGGAAAAAACCATGATTTTTAACATAAACCGTAGGCTATGTGCAATTGTAGTTTTATCTCTATGACCTATTTGGCTTGCTTCAGAATTTCCTTGTGTAAATGCCACATCTATCCATGTTGTGACATATAGAGACCTTCTGGGTCAATCTATAACAGTGTTCTGCTTGACAAGTAAAAATAGAGAGCCAAGGACGAAAACCCATGTCCTAAAATCACATCCAGTTCCTTGTACAAGAGGTGAACGAATTTATGCTTCAATTTATCTCTTTTAGATTTGTGATTTAAGTTAAAATTAGGCTACACTTTTTCACTCTGGTTTGGCCATTCTTCTACTGCGTGCTCAGGTCTCTTCTCTGGAGACATAGGCTGAATAAAAAGAATGTCGAATAATAACTCCAAAATGTCAATAAGCAAGAACATACCAGCTTATTTTCTTTAATTCCCTGAAGGAAGTAAATGACATTCACAATCTTAACTTTTGTATCCACAAAGGACCATAACTCATTCCTGCTTCTACCTGACAGAACATCAGACTCAACATTTTTATTTCCAATTCTAGTTTCATTTACATGAGAATTCAGGGAACTGTAAAACAGAACTTTACCCTGAATTTGGAACATGAAATATATAAAAAAATTTAAAAATAAGTTAAGCTTGTTTTTCTTCCATGATCTAGACCATATGTTTTTCAAAGATTCTGCAAAGACTACTTCATCCAGCACAACCAGATGCCCAAAGCAACAGATGTCCATATCAACAATAGAGCACAGTACACTGTTTGCCTTACAATGCACAAGGACAAGTAGCTCTCCAAACTTGTTGATCCCACCTCTATTCATGGTAATGATTGCTCATTTTGACACCAAGGAAATGAAGGCATTTGCTAAAAGTATTCAACATACCTTTGGGTATGGAATATTTATCGTTCTAGGATACTGTTCATCACCATAATAAGAATAGGCAATAACTGGTATATCTGTATCATTAAATTCTGCATATGCCAAAAAATTTCCATTAGAAGACCACCAGAGAGCATATTTTGTAGCAAGCATTTCCTCTGAAAAATAAGTACTTGCATATTAATTACATCTTACTCAAAATCATTGAAAATACTTCTAAATAGCTATTTATTGACTGAAATAATTTATTTAACATAGCTGTGACATATGTCATACTATGGTTATTAAAAAATAAGTAGTTTGAATTAAGAGAACAGCTTATCTTATATCTCATATCAAACATCAGTCTTGTGAGCATTTGACATTAATCAGAAATGTAATTTTAAAAATAAATAATGAACACATCAACAATAACTAGTTTTTCCCTCAGGGAAGCTTTTGGTTTTTATAGTAACCTAAAGTAGCTAAAACTGGGAGAACTGCAGTTTACTACAAAGTGAGATAACCACTGAAAGTTGAGTTTCTCTCCTGGGAATATCTGTCTATCTATCTATCTATCTGGTTAGTTGTGATATATTTTATAAACACACATATCTTTATAAAGACAGGGATCCTTTAAAGTACAGTGAAATCCTGGATCCTACGTGGCTTACAATGAAGACAAAATTCAAGACAGTATCAAAAACTAAGAACAGTTTCCCTCAAAATAGCACAAATAGTTATGTAGTTTTTTTGGGGGGGAAAGATTTCTATCTCAAAAAAAAAAATTAACATCACACCAAAGGACCATATACTTATTGCAATATAAAATCATTACTATCATTTTATAGTAATGTTTATGAAAATAAATTCTACTAATCTTCTGATAAGATTTTTTTAATATATGCACATCCTGTTCATAATCTAATAGCAGGTTCTAGAAATGCAACTACTTATCAAAACAAATCTTGGTGAATGTAGGAAATTGTTTTTAATTAAAAGCTTAAAACAGCAGCACTTGAAAAAGAATTAAACTTACCTTCATAAACCCAGTCTGGGATACCATTAAATATTTTATTTTCTTTACCATTATATGTTATTTGAAAAGGCAGATCTTCTGGTCTTTGTTTCAGATAGATATTGTTTTGATAGACATATGCCTAGAAGTGGTGGAAGTTAGTTAATAAGGGGAAATACAATGAAAGTTATATATTTGTTTTAATCATTCATGTAAGACCTTTAAAGAGTGATAAATCAGTTGCAAAAAAGACCCACAACTAAAATATTTTAGCAGGTTAAAAAACAAACAACCCATATTAACATCAATTATAATTTAAAAATCTATATTAAAAAGAATAAAGTCTATAATTATTTTAGTTTTATTACCCAAATAAATAATTATGCATATTGAGAGAATGTCAAATAAATCTCTGAATATTAATAGCTAGCCAGATATAATCTTTATTTAGAGCCCTTAAATAAGAGCTTGGACAAAATTTCATGTTGTCTGAAGCTAGTCTGGGAAACTTGTGAAAACCATATTTTTCCTGAGTTTTCTGGCACAACACATTCTGGCTGAGTATAAGGATAAAGTTTTTGACTGCGATATTTAAAGAAGTCTATCCATGAGCTTTAGATTTTGCGGAATTCTCAGATGGGTTTCAATTTATCCAAACTCTTCCCGCTTTTAACCACTAAAATAGTCATGAATGTATTTTTTTTCTTTCAGGCAGGGAAATTTAACAAAGGCCAAAATCAAATGACTCCTCTTTTATTTAAATGATTAAACGCTTCCATAATTTAAACACTTACTAGTTTACTCCCAACAGGCGACCAGGATAAATACTGAATTGGACGAGGAAGCTCATATCCTCTTACAAATTCTCTAGAAGGAAAAGAAAAAAAAGAATATAAAAGAAAGAAAACAAATCATTCTGTTCAGTGCAAATAGAAAGTCCGTAAGCAGAAAAAAATCTATAAAAATTAATGATAATTATAAAAATATCTTTGTTTCCACACACCTAATAGAAAGCTATTAGAAAGACTGCAAGATCATGGGACTGGAAACATGAGTGATGGTTGTCATTTTTCTACTTCTTAAGAGTCACTTAACTTTTCTGAGGCTCAGTTTTCAGGCCATTTCAGTGAGGCAAATGAATATAGACTGTGGGAACATCTTTGGAAACTAACAGAATCCTTTCATTTTACAGAAAATAATTGTGATTTTAGAGAGACGATACAACTGTTTAAGATTACATTGTTAGTTTTTGGCAGACCCCCGTTTAAGCTCAAGTTTTAACCCCTGAGATTGTAAACTTTGTACACATCAGATTAAGATGGTTGCTGAATTGTCTTCCAGCTCTGAAATTCTATAATTGTGCTGAAGTTTAATGTGTGCTCCTCCACATTCTCATTCACAACCCCCATCTCTGTGAATGCATATGCATTTCAAATTTTTGAAAATAAGATGCCATTTGACAATCTCCCCAGGGATCTGACTTGAAAGCAGAAAAGGAAAGGAACATCTGATCTCAAGCTAAACTGAAAAACAGATCTTATACTGGGCAGTATGCCTTAAGCTTGCAAAGTTCTCCACCCATGGGCAAATTTCAAATATTTTAGTGGCCAAAAATCTCACTCTGGTGTTTAGAGTCATGGCATAATTCTGCAAATACTCAAAATGAGGGACTTGCATTATGGAGCTTCTGTAGTTCTTTAGCAAGAATACACTGGGATTTTTATGTGTTAAAAGTCGTCGGATGCCATATACATGTTTTGCTTTATCCTCTTGAGGTTTGTATTAATAGTTTCATCAAGACTGTTTCTGTGGGACAAGAAAACAAGGTCTGCCTCCAATGTCTAATTGGAGAAGCCTCCAGATCCTCTGCACCCTTATCCCAGTCTCTCAAAACTGGATCTAACCTGTGCCTGACATTTATGCTTTTCTTATTTGCTGAACATTTAGATAGCAAAGAAGACCTGTAACACACTTTACCTTGATTTAATTTATTAGGTCATGCAGCATGATACCTAGCAGTCAACGAGAGAAGGAAGAGGGATGTCCTTGGAGAAAGGTGACCATGGTGGCTGCAATGGAACTCTGACAACCAGAGGATAGCACAAAAGGTCACACATGTCTGACCCCTGGAGGTCAGGATAGAACGGAAGAGATTAGGGTCAAGATAATGACTCAGAAATATTCTTCACCGGGTTTGCCATTCTGTCTTACATCAGTGTTCATGTTATCTTTGCCATTTTAACACAGACTTAGCTTTCTATATGGGGTGAATTAAACTATGCAATTTTGTAGACAGTGCCAAGCTGAAAATCTCAGTGAACATCTCTTCATCACTGGCAAGCCACCACATCTGCCATTTTCTATGTTTCTGAGTCATCAATGGTAGAAAATATGGTAGAGGAGAATGCTTTACAAATGCAGCTATCCCCTAAGTGTTCTTTAACTAGCTTGAAACCAGGACAATTTCCATTTTGTCTGTTAGATTTTTATAGTCTTCAGGGCATATAAACAACTTAAAATTAGTGGCATTTGGTCATGCTTTGAATCTCAACAAATTTTGTCCTGATTTAAATTATGCTGTATTCCAAAAAATTTTTTTTTTTCAAAAACAACCCTGGGAAATTAGATAGCTGTGCAGAAAACAGAAAAATAAAATAGTGGTTTAGTTAAATTCACTGCAGAGGAGCTAAATATTTAATATGATTTAGGTTCCAAAGTTTATACAAATCATGACTAAAATATTAATATTGTCATTTTATTTTAGAGTGCCTTTCAGTTTGGTGAACCTCGACATAGAGAATTTCAAAATGATTAAAAGAAAAACAAGAATATGGCTAAAGTCTGGGAAAATTATATTCAAAGATTTCCACCTCATTCATTTAACATTTTCTTAGAGTAGAGATGGTACCTTAAATTCATTTGGAACTCTCTTATATGCGCTTTTCAAATACTAGGTGCTCAATAAACACCTGTTGAATTTGATGATGATGATACAGAGAAGAGAAATATTTAGAATCCATTAGGTGGATTTAGATTCTACATTAAGCAGCAGCTCCTATTTCTTAATTTGACAGTTTAAGGAGATCAGTTATTCTTGTCTGCATATTTAAAAGAAGTAGATAATTAAAAAAATTTTTTTTCTTCCCTTGCTAGACAAAGGGGGAAATAGACTGGAAGATCTTTTCAAACCATATAATTATTTTTACGTTTTATGTAACAGCAAAGAAGGTATCACATTAAGATGAGTAACTAAACCGATTCATTGTCCACATTTAGGCAGAGCGATTTTTCTAAAGTGCAAATCTGATCATGTCATTCCCATTTAAAACCCTTCAGTGATTTCCTATTGTCATCAGAAAGAAATCTAAACTCTTTTTAATGGTTTCTTTATTATTATTAGGCTCATGCTTCCTGGCCTCAACTCCTTCCCAACCTTATACAACCTCCCTCTGGTAAGTAGGCCCCTCCTTCTGCCGCCGCCACATTGACTTAGGGCTTCCTGAGCACCCAGTACCCTCCCTTGCCTTTGGGCCTTTTATACATTTTCTTGTGCCTCAATTCTGTCCCTCAGTCCTGACCTACATGTGCATTCATTTAAATTATTTCTTATAAATGAGGACAGTTTTAAATAGTTTTTAACATACAGAAGAATAAAACAATATAATAAATGACAATTTTATATATGTAAATTTAGAAGTGTATTTAACATTATAAATGTTAAATTAAACACTATGACATTTTGGAAATAATTTATTTTAAGATTTGGCTATTTTAAATAATCAATTTAGAACCAGTTAATGAAGTATGTGTTCAGACACAGATAATGTTGTACTGATCTTCTTTCCTTCTGCCTCCCTCCAATGAAGTAGCCACTCTCCTGAAAATAGTATCTCATCCCCATGCATGTTTTTATCCTTTTACTACATATGTTTATTTCCATAAATAGCATAACTATAACTTTCTTTTTGAAAGTAGGAGAGCCAAAACTATATGGTGTATAAAATGCACACTGGTATTAGTCAAATAAGGAGAGGTGAATATGCCATAGAAATATTTCCTTTAATTTCTCAAGTTTTATGGATTCTCACATATCATAAAATAATAAGAAATTAAAATCAGTAACAAGAAAATGTAGTCTTAACCTCAATTCAAAGATAGGATGGAAAAGTCTAGGTATTTGATAAGTAATGTTAATAAATAGTGGTGTTTTACCCATTGTTGAGGTCATAGATGTGATATGTTGCTGTGTAAGAGTATCTCCAAAGCTGTCAGAAGGAAGAGAAGCAGACAGATTACAATATTTTAAAAAGTTCCTATTACTAATGTACACTCATAGATCACCCACTCAAGATTCAGAATTATAAAAAACCTATTTTCACATAATTTAAATTCCAAACCAAGTTTTCCTTTCAGTTTTACTGTGGACTTTCGTGCTGTTTGTCTAAGTTCCAGAACCAATCTCAGCAGTGATTCGACTTTCACTGTATAAAAAGGATATTCAAAGTCATTTTTGAATACAGAAACTTTACCTTTGACACCTTCTGTCCTAGACATTTTCCTTTATATTTTACCTGTATTGAAGTAAAATCTCTGATTTTCACAGCCCATAGAGATTACCCTGTATCTTGGTAAATATAATGATACCCTTTAAAATTGGATAAACAGAATTTCATTTGGTATATAGTTTTATTGTAATATGCTTCTATATCTTCATTCAAGAAGGGGAAATTAGTAATAATAAATAGTTTAGTTTGGTGGGAATACTCCCAAACTAGGCTTTCAAAGACATAGGTTTAAACCCTTGTCCACCACTGACTATATGTTATTGGGTTTGAGCACATGAAAATAATGCTACACTGTATGTTTTCCATTTTAAATTGTAATAAATATTCAAGGTTAGACTAATAAACTTTCATGATGTTAAACTTTGTTAAGAATTACTAATGGCTCACAAGTGGAAGGTTCTGAATTTGATCCCTGGTACTGCAAAATAAACAAAACAAAACATGTAATAGCTTTAGAAATACAAGGATATTTCTTACTCTTCTGATAGATAGCAGTCCCCACAAATGTGATTTTCTTTCCCAGAAGAAAGTAATTTCCACTATTTGTTAATAGAATGCAAGTAGTGAATGCACAAGAATGCAAAATTCAAAATCATTTGTGTATGTTTCAGTTATGCCTTTTGGGTTCATTTACTTCTTAAATAAAGATGAAGATAGATTCTTATTTACCTCTTACTTTTTTTTTTTGGTACCAAGGGTCAAACTCAGGACCTTGGGCTTGTGCAGCAGGCGCTAGAAGCATTGAGCTAAATTCCCAGCCCTTTACCTCTTACTTTTATAAAGCAATCTTTAGATTAGTGGGAGATGTAATCAGACATACCCAAATTAAATAGTTAATACCTTTGAGTAATCACTTTCAAGATATGCAAATTGCCGATCAGGTGACAAACCATAATTTGAAGCATTCACACTTTTCTGAAATTATGAAGAAGTTTATTAGAATACAGAAAAAAAAGGATTGTAAAAATTTGTGGTTCTAAAATTTCAAATCATCAATAAGCTCCTATGTATAATTTTAATGGAATTAAAAATGTTTATGTAGTTTCTATGTATATAAAGAAACTTACTATTATTACTGAGGGGGAGATATAACAAATAAGATAGACTTTGTGAATTCAGGAAGCTTATAATGTTAGACTTGTCAACCAGTAACATTACAAATTAAAAATTTCTATCAGAGAGAATCATTATAGCATTTAAAAGCATTAAGGGAAGAAGTGAGAGAATCCAAATGAAAGATAATTGGTTTTACAGATGAGGAGAATATTATCTGGACTTAGTTTGAAAAGATAAATAGGCTTTTAAGGGTAGAGAAAGTAGCAGCGCTGAAAGCTCAAGGGAAAGTTTAACATGTGCTTGTATATCAGACCCTCCATATATTGAACATTTATTGTATGTTAGGCACTGTCTTAAAGAATTTGAAATGTTATTTCATTTAATTCTTATATTAAACCAAAGAGGTATGTATTATTATTCTCACCTTACAGAGAAGGAAATTGAGGTGTAGGAAAGTCTGTGTAGTATAGAACCTTGTCCAAGTTTCCATAGCTGGTAACTGACAGAACTAGTGTTTGAACTTCAAGTTCCTGACTCTTATCTTATGCCATATTATTTCCAAAAGGGGGCAAAGACACTCAGTTCTTAAGAGGGCCAGAACAGTAGTCTAGTGCAACCAGAAGAGAGAACTGGAGTATGACAGTGGGGGATGGAGCTGGGAAGACAGGTTAAATTCTAATCCGGTGCTAAGATTTTGAACTTGTACCTTTGTCAGTGAAGACCTGGAAAAGGTTTCTGAGGAGGAAGATGATGCTGGATACATACCATGGTGCTATTGCTCAAAATTGTGTATGATTCTCCTGTTTCAATATTATATAATACTACATTATCATCTGTAGATTGATGAAGATATTCTTCCCCTTTAAGAAAAAAAGCAAAATTTGACATGATCTCTCTTAAGAGGAAATTGATAACAGGTGAAAGCACACTTATTTCACAGGCTTATTTTACAGTATATATTTCTTTATCAGATTTAGAATAATAAGTTGATGATGGAAGAGAAGATAGCATATTTTTTTCTATTTCATATAAAGATGCCATATTTGCTAGAAGCAGCCCTATCCTAACTGATTTGAGAGTGCTTAGGAATAAAAGTTTGTTTTTTCTGGGTTGCAAAGAGAATATACTAGTTTAAAATGGTATTTTTCTTTTACAATAATAAAAATAAATTATACTTGGGATCTGTTTACTTTAGTATCAAACCTAATTTATATGTATTTTATTTTTTTAAGAGAAAATTTAATTTACTCAGTTTTGTTGGTGGCATTGTATCTATGCATGTATAAATATCATAAACTAATTGATCTCACTATATATTTGATTAGATTTTCAGATAACATTCTATTTTGAAGAAGTAAATATCAATTTTATGACCCTGAAAGATTTATTGTTCGGTAAATTTGGGATTTTGTCTATTTTTCAGATTATCTACATTAATGACAGAATTTCTCTGAGTAAAATTCTTACTATCTTTCCTATGTAGATGCATGTCTCCCATTCTTAAAAGTTGTACCAGACACTGAAATAATTTCAATGATGCTTTCTCAAATTTTACTTTTCTGTTAAAATTCCTGTTGGCCTTTTTACTGTAAAACAAACCCAGACCAAAAGGTCTTATCAAAAGTACCTTGGTGGGTACTTGAGTTTTCCAAGTATTTTTTCTTTTTGTTCATTTCAACGGATACAATTTTAGTTATCATAAAGATGTATTGGCACTAAAAACAAAACAAAGCACATTTTTAAAAAACCTCAAAAGATAAAGAAATAGTTCACTTACCTGAAATCCAGTTTGGGAAAAATGTCTTATAAGAAAATGTTCCATTTAAAATATCATTCAGTGTGAGGGTTCTCATTGTACTTCCCTCAGAATAATAGACTTTGGAAAACAAAGAAACACACTATTAATACAGACAAAGCTGATAACTCAAATACATTTTAAGCCTGGCCTTCACCCATTCTATCTCATATAATGATATGATGTGCCATTTGTTAAGTGATGCTTAGGTTCCTATCTTAATAATATTTTTGTAGACAGAGTAACTGAGGATGGTAGAGGCAGCTGACTAGAAGGGATAGTTGGAAACCTATGGAGAATAATGAAGGTGGTAGACTAGGACCACATAGAACAACTGAGACATTATTCTGCAGGTGGTGAAAAGCTGTTAGGGGTTTCTGAGGAGGAAGGTGAGACGAGCTTCTACCAAATTTAGGTGTACCAGAGCTAGGATTACAGACCATGTAGTTTGATTAAAAATTAAGCTTGATGGGGATGAGGGTTTAGCTCAGTGGTGCCGCTGCCTGCCTCGCAACACAAGGTCCCGAGTTTGATCCCCAGTACCAAAAAAAAAGAAAAGTGTATCAAAAATTGAGCTTGTCTCTTGGTCCTCTTCCTATTTGTAAAAGTCCTACCTCCCTGTTTCATATTATCTATCTTTTATTTTGCTCTTTAATTTATTTATACTTTGTGTTTCTTGCATAAGAGAAATCATGTGGTATTTAAGCTATGTGTGTCTGATTTATTTCACTTAACATTAATGGTCTTGGGGTGTATCCTTTTTCCTATCAATGACTCAAATTTTGGGGAAGCAAGACAAGGGGAGAGAAATGAATAAAAAAGAATTAAGATGGATTATGTACATGTACCAACTCCCCACAATGAATATAATCATTATGTACTGCTACCATGTACTAATAAAAATAATACAAGTTATAAAAAAACCCCTCAGCCTATTCACAGTTCACTGTATTGTCTCATATAGTCTAGGCTTGGATTTCTACCGATTTATCAGTAATATATTTTAGTGTTATGTTTGGTTGAATGAGATCAGCCAGAATCTTTACCTTTGCAAATCTCAAGAAAGGCATTAATGAACATAGGTATTTTCTGATGCTATGTATTTTTATAAAGAGAAATTGGACCACAAATAAGTAAAAATCACATGATTTCTATAAAAGATCTTAGAAATCCTGAATAATTTTCTATAGAAATGCTAACCTAATGTTGCTCACAAACCTCAAATAAATTTCAGTTATATTTGAATACTTCTAAACAATTTTGTTTTTCAAACTTGACTTTACTCTCAGAAGAGCTCATTAGAGTACCCTAAGACAATCAAATATACCAGAGGGATAATAAGGCAAGAAACTCCCAAGACATCTTCATACCCATTCTGTGACTCTATTCCTCTTTTCTATCTCCTTCTCCAGGCCACTACTTACAAACTAAAACTAATGGAAATGACCTATACTTTGAATAGCATTTAAGAATCTGGCATTTTCCCAGGCGAAAAGCAAACATTTAAACATGAGAGCTAGCACTATATCCTTCCACTAAAAGTCTTTCAAAACTTTCCATGCCTCTTGAGGTAAAGACCGTAAGTGATACCCTGAACTACAGACCCTGGCTGGTCTGGGAGGACCTAACCAGACAGCCCTTCCTGTCCCTCTCGAATTCTCTCACTTCCAAACATGTTAGGCTTTCTGTACCCTAAATATTCTTTTGTCTCTTCAGGGCTTCTGTACCACTTTTTATCCTCACCTTTTGCCTCATAATTTCCGCTTCCTTCCTGATCCCCTAGTTTAAGACAGGTACTTCCCTCATACATTTCCCATAGACCATGCTTCTTTCTTTCAGAACACTTGCTGTGGTTTGTAATTATGTATGTATTTGAGTGCTTATTTTACAAATGTTTAACTTCCACCCCCCATATAATCAAAATAATCACCAGAAGGTCAGAGACCGTGTCTTATTTTGCTATACTTCTCCAGTGTCTAGCATATACAGGCATTGAATATATACTTGTTGAATAAATGAATGCGTAAAATGAAGGATAGATGAAGGAGTGAATAAGATATGGCCTCTTCTCTTTGTTTCCAGTAAGGCTTTGGTCAATTTCTGGCATTTCAGCTTGCTCATCTATATATAAGAGATTTGGCTAGAAGATGCTGTCAGTCTCTTCCAGCTATGCTGTACTAGATTTGAAATGTAAAACTGAACCTGCTCTATTTGCTCTGAAGTCACATAAATGTACTACCATGTAATCAGAAAAAAATAGTCAACTGGATAAAAGTATCTTCTGATATTTTAACTGAATTTCACTGATGCAAGTGTGCTCTACACATTTGATTAGGACCTTGTTTAATGTTTCAACCTACTAAAACTTACTCTTAAGGTTGTGCTATAGAACACAAGCAGCTGGTGAGCCTCTCTACAACTAGACACTGAATACTTCATACTTTTAAATTATTCTATTTTTCAGTAACCATCTTCTTGCATTCTCTTTGCATTCTAAGTAAGGTTGTGATACTATGAAATCATTTAAATGAAATTTCTATTTAACTGAATGGTTGTTTGCAGAATTCATACCACTGATTCTACAATTCCCATTCAATAACTAAAAGATCATTTACTACAATGGCATTATAATGATTGTTAAGTATTTAATTTAATTTTTTAGTTTTCCTAAGAAAAAACTGCCATCTGTTTTTAATGTTGTCAAAGGAAAATTAAAACACTTTGCAGTGGAAATTATTTTCCATTTGAGATACATCTATTTTATGTTTCCATAATCCTAAATATCCAGATGGAAAATTTAAAAATGCAGCAAATCTATTAGCTGTGAATATCAAAATAACTAGATAATTGTTTAATTGAAAAATATTTGCTATTAATTAAAAAATGCATATAACCTTGTGAGGCCTTTTTAAGTCCAGCAGAAATAATATTTTTATTAAGGTAAATGAATGTCTTGTATCATAGTTTTTCCTATTTAAGGATCTTTGCATTTAACTTTCTTTATGGTTACACAGACATATTTAGATAGATGTAATTATTTTTCAGTTTTATAGAACTTTAAATTAAGTGAGAAAATTTAACTAAAAGATTTAGCTCATGTTACGTAGTCCATAAATATTACCTTCTAGTATTATCATAACTCATCAGTATTCTTCAGATAAAGATTTTAGATCATGTTTTTCAAACAAACTAACCACTGGGTCTTTCTGCTTTTGTTGTTGTTTTTCAATATCAATTAAAACCACAATACAAGGGAACCCAGCTCCAGATTAGGATATTAATATATAAAGTGGAAGTGCATGTTTATTTTACTTTAATAAAATTCACTGGTTATACCTGGAATATTTTGGACATTAAGCAGCTATTACAATTATGATCATAAATACAGCTAGTACCAATGTTGTCCATATGAATAAATTAAATTCATATAAAACCAAAAACTTCAAATTATTCAAGTACCTACTCAGTTTTCTTTTCATATCATGTTTCTAAGACTATTTACTTTTTTAAACCTCTAATTTAGATTATTCAGAAAGATTATACTTGTTCTTACGTTTCATATTACTTCCTCCTTAGTCATTTATTTATATGGGTGCATAGTAGTTATCAATGCCAGCAATCTATGTAGAGAACTTAGCATATGTACTATTGTGACTCAAAATATCAATAAAGCATTATAAATATGTATTAATTGTATGATTAATTTCCATAATGAGGGTAACCCTCAGCACCACTGAAGAAGCAGTGAGTAGATGTACAAAGTGCATTTTCAGAGGAGCTAGCTGCATTTATGTGGAAATAGGGTTCATGGCACAAATCAGGGAGGATGACTGCTAACCTCATGTTATCTTTATAAACCACCTGATATCTGATGTAGTCAAGGCTTAATGAGTGTAATTATGTTGGTGTTGGGCTGAGCACAGATAAATTCATTCTCAGTTTCATGGGAGGGATTTAAATTCTACATTCTTCTCATAAAGTGGTCACATGTTCATAGCACAGCTGGGTAATGTGTCTGCTGTAGGTGTTGCACTAGGTCACATGTTAGAGTGAAAATAAAATATCCAGTTTACTTAGAATTGCTAATCTGACATTCAAGTCTTATTTACCCATAGAAAGACCATAACTATAATAATGTATGGTAATGTGTCACTACACTATCAATGTTGATCACTATACCAGTCAGGATTAGAAATAATCATTTAATTGGGCACTTTGGAATACCACTGACTTTTTGCCGCCTCAACACTTTTTTATTGCACATGAATATTTTTACCTCTATATGCATATGGAAAAAATTCCATAAAGAATAGGTCTCTAACCCTGAAAGTAGAAACTGTTTTATTTTTTACCCTATTGTATTCCCAGCAGGTAGGATAGCATTTACATAAAGTAGAAGCACAGTAAATATTTGTTGGATTAAAAAGTGACTTGATGGATATTGCGTTAGCTTGGTTTTGATAATTCCCCCTCAAAGATATACCTGTCCTTGTTTTCTACCCTGTAGTTCATGTTGTACATTTCACATATCTATTTCTCTACCTCGATTTGATTTCATTTAAATGTTTATCTAAATTTGGTCCATGGAGTACATGGAGCTTCTAGTTTTCTTTTTAGTCCTTACCAAAACCTACTGAATTAAATCTCTGGGGATGGATCCTGGCTGTTTAAATTTTTACCAAGCTCCCTTAATGATACTTCTGAAAAATTCAAAATCCCATTGACAAGATTTCACTGAATCTATGCTGTTCAGTACACTCCTGTGCCCATCAATGGGGTTTCTCCTTGACTATAAAGCTCCTGGTAGTGTATGAAGCTGGTCTGAACTACAGTCCATACTTCAGAGAGAGTAAACTCCACAACTAAGTATTGATGATGGCTGTCAAAGAAGGCTAATTGGTTTTTTACATGTTTATCTCCAATTGAGTGATCTTGCTCATTGCCTCCAATAGGCTCTTTTTTAGACCTATTCCCTTTGCTGACCTTGGACAAGTAGAGAAAAGGCAAGGGATTTACTCTGCTCCAGGTTAGATTTCAATAAGATTATGAAGAAAGCATTGGAATTACTGTTTTTTAGTGTT